ATTTGCTATTTACTGAATTAGTATTACATATCGCTGTTGGTAAACAAACAAATAAATGAAATCATTTTACAGTACTTAGTCATAAAATATTTATTTTTAAGATTTTTAACTGTTATGGGATACACGGACTCTGGCGAGGGAACACGTGTGCATGCAACATGCACACATTCGGGCTCCGCCTACGAGAACCACCGGGTGGTACCTCCGCGTTCGACAGTCAGTGACCATCTACCACCTACGGACAATCACAACATCCATAGCCAAGAGAAAAATTTCTCCTGCGACGGGACTCGAACCCGCACAGCGCACGGCGACTGATCAGGAGACCGAAGAGTCTACTACTGCGGCCACCGCTGCTGCCTAAATGGTAACAATGGTTAGATGGACGCTTCGCCACTGGTGTTGTGAGTCAAATTCAACTCTTTCCCGATCATTCTGTGTGTCAACCGACGATCCGAACGCACAAGGTCCTGGATTTTGATTCTGATTCTGCATAGGTTCTTGAAGATGAAGGTATTCCGCTTCGTGGTCCATCTTCAGCCGACTTTCTTCCTTCTGAAAAGGCCTTAAAGACCTGGGCTCCTTACTAAGTGCTCCGTATGCCTGCTGAAGTTTAGCAAGCGTTTTCGTTGCGCTGTGCCCAAGTATAATGCAAAACTTGATAGCACACAATACACAAAACTGTTTCATAAAAAAAATCGTTACCGCTACGGACAGCCAAATACTCGAGCAAGTTCAATCTTGTACTGAAAGCGGGTCACATGTTTCCCTGTTTCGTCAGTTGTCAGTCTCATCACTTCATTTACAGTCTTCGTATGTGTAAGGGAGATTGATGTATAGAAGTAATTCCTGAACCTTTACTGTCTATCTATTACTTACTGAATGGGTCACAACATCTGCGAATTTAAATATAAACGAAGCAGCAACAAATATCGATATAGTATCCATTATTACAAAGTAATCGTAGTTCAAATTGTGAGTTGTAGTGATCCATATATACAAATATCCATGTACAAAAACTCCTACAGTCAATATGAACTGTCCGCTAAAGTAGATCATGTTCCCAGTAGATAGAATGTGCCTTCTGTAGTTCCAGACAAGGCGCAAGTACAGCTTTTGGAGATGTTGTAGTTTCACTAAGGCTGATTTTTCTTTTCTATCCTCTGTCAACCTTTTCTCCAATGTGTCTTTGATAGTGTTGAAGCACGAATTAAAGCATTCTGTGTATGCCATGTTGAAATGAGAAATATACATCGTTACACCCATCAATGCTACATACATCAGCCCATAACCAATAGTCACTATGAGGTTCCTGACAGTAGGTTCTTTCAAAAAGAAACTGTACAAAGATGATACTATGTAAAGAGCGTAAACTACCAACGCCATAGCTATCTGAATTCTCATTCTGTTAACAAATCTAGTGGATAAAATGATATCTACGCCATAGTATTTACGCCTGTCTATCATTTGCAAAAGAAAATTCATAGCTTTCACGTAATTTCGGTTGTAGACTAACAATGAAGATTCGAGAACTACAATGTTGAAGATCTTGCATCCCAATACATATTTTTCTAGAAACAGTTTGAATTTTACTGCATCATGATCAACATCTTTGTACAATTCGAGTATATCCATTATTAAAATGACAGTAGATGCAATGAGTATAATTGTTATAATTAAGCATGCCAATGTACGACCACCGGTGATTTTCACGAATTGCTTGTTGACGTTACTGTTGTGAGGGCACTTTGAAACGCTAATATAAAGCACTCCCCAGCAAAAGATTCGCAGTTCTCTCTGGGTGCATATCAAGCAATCGTGTACTTTGTTCCGAAACAGTTTGTGCAGCATGAAGTTAAGACGGTCCTTCATTCTTCACTTTCTTTCAGCACTGAAGTGGATCCTCAGTAGTACCTGAAAGTTTATATTACTACACCAACTAGCAATAGTGTGAAGATAATAGTAATATAGGTTTGTTCCAAGAAGCAGTTCCGAACTAGTTGAGAAATTATTTCGAATTATTTTTCTGCTCAGAACTACTTCCGTACTTTTCTGTTTGAAAATCGATTAGGAGGAGCAGGGCCTATATGTTTACATTGTATTGTTTTTCGCCAAAATTGCGTAGTTTTACTGCATACATCTGACTCGTTTGTCTACCAATGCGTACCAAAGTGGCAGCGTTGTATCAACATAAGAGTAATAATAATAACAATAATAATAAGCATAATGATAAAAGCCAAAGCTCGGACAGGGCTAATATCATTCAGAAGAGGTATATTCCAAGTTAATTCTTTAAGTCCGCTGCTCCCGCTGTCTGTTACGCTGAGAAATGTGAGAGCATAGAGCTGTGGCTCACCCAGCAACCAGAAGCACAAGATCACCCACCTTTTTTATATGTACCTAAAACTTTATGCCTCCGGACAACGCGATATACAGCAGTCGCTCAGGGTAGTGCAGATCTGGTCATCAGAAGTGGGATAGAAAGAATTTAATTTGCTGTTAGTTACGTTTGTGACAATCTTAGGATAGTGAAAATTCGTTGTGAACGACCATCTATAGAGGAATCACCCAACTAAACTTAATCACGCATTATTGGTTGCATAGTTTTGTGAGGCTGAGCGATCCGTGTCTATAGTTTTTATCTCTGAGAAGAAGGTTGGTTGAATAGCAAGATCGCATCTGGATGATTATATGTGTTGGTCTGCATGTGTATAAAATCAGTGATATTTGCTGTGTGAGAAAATCATTACTGAATATGCTGAATATGACGGGCTATTCAAATGTTGTGCTTTCAAAGTTATAAATTACGAAAAACTGAGGAGAATTACGGGAAATCATCACCGCGCGCGTGTGTAATTACTGTTAGCATGTATATGACTTGTACTTCGACAGTGTACAGTGAATATAATTATTTCTGATCTCTCTCACTTTTGAAATTTAAGCAAATTTGTATAAGTAATTTCCAGAATGTTTAAGAAATAGTGGCTGTGCAACTAATTTCTAGCCTTGAATCTCGATTAAGTGTCTTTGAGACAATGATGCAATGGAATTATCATCAACCCATACAACTTACAGCTTAGACCTCCAGTAATGCCATCTCAGAAGCAGATTTAACATCACATCAGAGCCAAAGATTGATAACAAGCCTCATGACGTTTAGGCAACACGTACAACTAAGTGCTAAGTTAATATCTTGTGGAAAAACCTACATAATGTAAAGAAAAACACAATGTCACTTTTCAAGATACGTGATACCCTCATCAGCTTTATGCGTGAACACGAGACCGCGGGTGAAGGAGCTTCTCTTTTAGAGCAGAGAAAAGAGCAGCCGAGGAGCTCATCTCTTTATTCATACTTGACTTTAAGCGGAAATGCTAGCAGTCCATTACAGTGCTGGCTCCTGCTCAACTGAAGAGGCACATAAAAACTGCTGAAGCAAACTATCTGTTGAGGTTTGCCTATGCATGGAATGTTGAGTCTATATTCGAGACTACTGTCGTCTCCGTTAGATAGGACATTATCGAGTATGTTGTCAAAATGGGGATTATTAGCATAGTATAAATATATCGTCGAAATCGTAAGTTTTTTAATATGTTGGCTTTTCATATTAATAGTGACTGTTTTATATCGATAATTTCATGAGCTCGCTTTCTGGGCATATATATTATTCTTTTACTTTTCTTCTAAATGAGTATTATTGGAGTAAATGAGTTTCAGATCTTGTGGGAGGAGTTTGTAGCAGCGAGGGCCTAAGTAAAGATACGATGCCACTTTTTTCTGGCTTGAGGACCTTCATACAAATATGATTCTTGTTTCTTGCAATCTAAGTTCAAGTGATATCACTTTTAAAATACTTTTTTGTGTTACCTCCAGGGACTCAAACAGATCATTGACTGGCTCATTCTACCTAGTTTGAATTCGTTTGTTATAACAGAGAATTACATGGCTTGTAATTGGAGTAAAATTTGAGATTACCAAGTTTCCAGTTGCCAGACGCGAAATTTGAGATAAGTAATTATTTTTTGACGTAAGAAAATTTGTTAATCGAGATGGCAGTTTTAGGATAGGATAGATAGGAAGTTTTGTCTTTTTTAGAGCTGGAAGGACTTATGATCTTGATTTTAGAGGAAGCTTGCGCTGTAGCAGAGGAAAGTTAATAAGTAAGTTAGCCTACTAATCGACTTGGAATTAAAGAAATATACAGGGTGTAAACGTTATGATTAAATGGGTGATAAAATGGCATTTTTTTAGAGAAAAGCGACTGTAAAGTAAAATAAAATCTGACAACGCCGCAATGCCAGACGCAAATTACGACGGAACGCAGTGTAAATACAGATGGAGTTTGTTATTTTTGGCTCTTAATAACTTAAATTTTATTATAATTTTATATTGAAGTCATTAATAATGATGGATTTTTCGACCATCTACTACTGTAACATAAACTCTTTGTAAAAAAAATTGGCCGCTGTTCACTCGGACTGAGTATTCTATGCACGTTCAGCACATTCCTATGGAGACGTGATGCTCGGCGTTGTTCTGTTACAACATAAGGGATTTGTAGCAACATAACTATCTCTATAAAAAAGTATTGGCACATCCCATTTTTTCTAGGATCTCAATAATGAATAGATGAATTTTTGTTGCTGCACATATCGTTGATTTGGAAGAACACTGTCACAAGTGGAAAAGTATTAATTTTCAGGAGAGATGTTTTAAAATTTCAATGTGCTAGTTCTCATCATAATTTTTTTAAGGTAAAAAATAAGGGGTAAAATATTTTATTACCTTAAGGGTCCCTTTATAATCACTTAAATATAATAGAAAGACATTACCTGTCCTCACCTTTTTACCTGAAATTAGCATTTGTGACAGTTTTTCCCAAAATTTCTTTAACATTTTTGATTGAAACGTTTGACACAAAATAAAACAATGGAGTAATTTATGGTCGAAAATACAGTTTTATTTATTTAAATTTACAGAAATAAACAAATAAAAAATATTTAAAGAACAGCACAGAAAATATGTAGGTAGAAAGTCCATAATCTATCATAAAAATCGAAATAGTACATTGGGACCACTCGTTTGTCAGGTTTTTTATTAAACAATGATAATAATGATTTTTTTTTAGTTTCTGTAATACCGACTTTTGCCTTGTAAGCATTTTTTAACTTCACCGAAGAGAAATCTGGTTTTTGGCGCCTCAAATGTAAAATGTTGACTTGTGAATACTCCTTTTCATTGTAAGAGGTTTTGTAGAATAGCACTCCCGGGCACTCTTTCTTTACCATAAACATTTTTAAGTCGGTGATTTTAACGGTTTCACCCTCTTCATTTTTGAAATTAGGTTTCATGCCGAGCTGAGAAGAAAGATCCTTCAGGCCAAGGATATCTTTGTGACACATTTCATTAACAGAAAATGGTTTCCCAGTTTTTTTTGCCTGTCCGATTATTGTTGCGTATTGCTCAGGCACATAGATGGATCCAGATTTGCGAATTTTGGCAACTGCTTCTTCAATAATGGCATGTACTTTATCGCCCTCATTTTGCGTGTGCAAAGCGATAAAAAATTTGTGAGTTATAGATTGTACAGACTTTAAATTTGAAACTGCATAAGTGTATAAAGACATGATAAATCGGTTCTTATTTTGTCCCGCACAATTGTCACTTTAAAAAATTATATCTAAAACTTTTGATTTGTCGTCCGAGTTTGAAACGTTTTCTTGCAAATTTCGTAAATAATTCCACACGCATGAACCTATTTCATCAGCACCCCTTTTGTCTTCTGCCTCGTGCCAGAGATAACAATATGCTTGATTTGTTTGCAATTCAAACATAGTTAGATTGAAGACATTACGTTTTGACACATAATAGAAACTTGAGGCGTTACCGATTGGGCATGGTATTATCGCTTGGAGGTCGTACACAGCGACTACTTTATCTGAAACTTTATCGGCTTGCTTTTCTGAACGAGATAATACTTTCTCTTTCAGATGAGTGTCGTATTTACTTTTCATGTGGGTTTTTTCCTCCTGGTTGGCATTTGTGTACGCAAGACATAATTCACATGCATCCTTCTTAGGAATAAAAAATGCTATGTTGAACTGTTGATTGAAAATAGTATAATACATTAAGTAGTTTGCGTAAGGCTTATTATCTTCTTGACAGATATTTTTGTAATCCCTGTATAAATCTCTCACAGTCTTACCACCTTCAATATACTCCTTTTTAGACTGGGAATTCTTGGAATAGAATTGATGTGGGCTCTAATATCTTCTTTTATGCCATTGGAAATTGAATAGTGGTTGGTGTGTTTTCCTCTCATTTCTTGTTTAAGAATTCCTTTAGTTATCGAATCTTGTTTTTCTGTAACCGTTCGAATAACTCTACTGCTAATACCTAACGTGGACATAAAAAATTGTTTGCAGATTCGAATATTTTGTCCATCAAGGTCTAAGAAGAAACTAGAATTTAGACGTCTACTATTTTCGCCTTTCTGATATCTATATTTTGGCTTAATAGTAAGCATTCGGCCTGCTATAAATCCACGTTGTTGCAGGACATCTCCTAATTGCCAATATTCTTCAAAAATTTTTTGCCTCTGATCTTGTGAGATTTTGGTGGAACACTTTAAGCGGCATTTTTCCCCACAGGGCGCGGACATCTTTCTTTCTTCTCGCTTTACTTTCATCCGTTCGATACTTCCATCACTTTTCTTGATTTTTCTAATGCATTCATAACTTTTACCTGTGTTTCTAAGACGTTTCGCTTTATTCTTTTGCCATTCATCTGGGACTCTTTTTCGTTTTTTAGTTTGCTTCTCTGTTTCAGAAGGATAGTGCACTGAACGACGTATTGGTAAAGCTACATTTTGAGGTATACCATCTACTTCGGATTCACTGGAAGACAATATGTTTTCTGGTTCAAAATCAGGATCTTGTTCTGAAGCACCAGAACCAAAAGGTTCTTCTTCAGAACTGGTTGGGTCCGAATCACTTGAGGACCTACTACTTGAATTGTTATCTGTTTGAATTGCAGGTTCAACAGAAAATACTTTAGAAGAAGTGGCTTCTGTAACAATAAATTTTGTGTTAGAGGAACATTTTTTTAACTAGCTATGACTACCTAAATCACCTTCTTCTATTAGCTCACTGCTAGGACCATTACTGCTAGGGAATTCTTCATATTCATCCGCTCTAAGTAAGCCCTGAGATCGAGTTCTATTTATTAATGTAACACCTCCAATATCTTCTGAACTCTGATCAAAGATGATACCAGGAATGATTGTCGTTTGGGAGATAACGTTTTGGCTTGGCAGATCGATCTGATTTACAGACTCTATATTATTCTTATCTTCGGTTGCATTTTTGGCTTCTTTTAAACTATTGCGGATATTATTACTTTCAATCATGTTTAGGGACTCTAAAATTATATGAACATTTATTTGTGTTTATTTTTATTAACAATAGAAAAACAAACCTTTATTGACCGTGACGCTATTAACAGCTTCCTCTGCAGTACTGCTGGTATTGCCAATATTATTATGCTGCGAAATTTTCCAACTATCCTGCGCACCATTCTCTTTCTTCTCTACTCTTGCTTTGGTTTTTGCTAACTTTAATATAAGTTTCGCTCGCTGGGAACTCATTGTATAGACTGTGAAGTAACAAATACGTACATTTCAGAAAATTGCACAAACAACTTCGAAAATTTTAAATTATTTTTACGAATATTGTTCCAAGTAAAAAAAAACAATGAATCATTAGTAGATTTTATGTAGAAAAATGTCACATATCAAAATAGTACTCAAACTAATAAAATAACTTTTGACATTGTCATGATTATTTTGAAGAATACCGTTCTAAGTAAAAAATGACGATATTGCACATAATATTCCTTTATAAACACGCATATCCTATGAGGAATACTGACACAAGTCGAAATGTGACTGTGTTGCACATAATAATTCATTTTAAAAGCACATATCCTATGAGGAATACTTACCTAAATCGAAATGTGACTGTCTTGCATAAAATATTAAATACAAAATACCAAAAAATACGTTCCTTTTTCACTTGTGACACTATTCTCGAAAACACGCGATGTGACTTCCACAACAACTGAGACGCAACTAATAATGTGCCGCTATTCCATACAAATAAATGCACGAGTTACACAAAGTCAAACTGTCATAAGTTGCCATCTAGCGTTAACTACACGAGTGCAACTTGTGACTATTTTTCCCATAATAAAGTTTACCTTTTTGAGTTGGTTAGCGGGTCAAACTAAAAAATGTCAATTTTTTAGTTGTGCCATTCTTCTTCCAAACCAACGATATTTAAAAACCAGCATCCAAATAGTAATTTTTGATGGAAATACATTGAGAGAATTGAAAATAATCTAAGAATAATAATAGGAATTATGAAATTCAATGGTCAAAAGGCACAATAAAAAATAAACAAGTAAATGAGTTGAAAATAAAAATCATTCACATTTAGTGTTGTTATCATATCATTTGGATGGATTGGAGTATTGTGCACGAACATTGTGAAGTAATAATTCCTCTATTTTAGTAGCTTAGAATCGTTATCCTGCTGAAAAAAAAATGTATCCATGTTTCTTATTTCTTCAGTACTGCTGTTCAATTTATTGCGCAATATGGCAACATACTTATCTTCATTCGCAGTGGCTTCGATGAGGCTTAGCTATCCAACACCATGCATCCCCAGACTAAAACGCTACCGCCACCATGCAGCACGGTTAGGTTGAAAAATGACTATTTGTGTGTTAGTTTCCATATGAGCTTAGTATCAAAAATGAGTATCTCAAAGAAAATTTGTTAATCCAATTTTGCCTAAGGATATTATAACAGGGAGAAGCCCCCTCCTCTTCTAGATCGTTCGACAATCTCGACACCCTAGCGACAAAGGAGCGGTTGTATCGCCCAGTTCTGGATGTGCGAAGTTTGACACGGTTATAACGGGAAGCTAACGTCAGACGGGTCTGTCTGGAAGCCGCGTTGCGCGGCGGCATCATGAAGGAGAGCTCCGAGGAGCAAAGCCCGTTGCAGTAGCGGTAAAAGAGAGCTAGATCGCCGACGGCCCGCCGGTGTGAAAGATTCCCGAGACTGTTAGAAGAGTCATCGATTAGTCGGACAGCTCTCGTCTGAACAGATCGAACATGGATAATGTGGTCGGGGCGGCAGCACCCCAAGCATGTGAGCAATACCGTTACCTCCGAGAGTACAAGGCCAACTGGGCTCTGAAAAGCCTGTGACGTCACGCAAAGTAGGCCTATGCATGTTCTTATGGAGTTTCGCGATGCCTGGCTGGCAATAGAACCGCGCCACCATTTCTCTGCGGTGTTGTCATATCTAGATTTGATATAGCAGTATCGAAATCTCTACTAATTAGTTGTACCTCCCTGTGGGCGAATTTGCAAGATGTACTCGGGGACTGCGCAGCTTCAGTGATGATGTGATTATTCTTTCTGATCTGCCTCAGTATGTCAAGAATACATTTTCGATATTACGTTCAATCTGTCACTTGTGAAGTCTAATATTCCATTCAAAATTGGAATATGTCGCAACCTTGGTAACACCGCTAACATCCAACAGCTGTCCAACAGCCAACTAACCTCACACTCACATTCTGAGCCTCTACTATGTATCTTTCTATGCTATGTAAACTGAAAATTATTGATGTTTTAAACTTATATTTGTGTCTCGCGATTGTTTAGCTAAGTTTTCAAAATGCCTTACAAGTGCTGCGTTCCTAATTGTGCCGGTAATTACGGGAAGGGTCCGAAGGTAGGTACACGTATTTTCGTTTCCATTGAATGAAAACTGTCGTAAAAGATGGCTCAATGCAATCCCTCGTAGTGATTTAGTGGTTACAAAAAAACACCCGAGTATACAATTTGCACTTTGCTGAGGACAGCATCACTTGGGAATCCACCTTCCATGACGAAAAGACAGGTAGGACCATTACTGTACCCCTTAAGTATCCAAAATTAAAGGCAAATGTAATTCCAAGTATCTTTGCAAATTGTCCAAAATACCTTTCAAACGACATATCAAGCAGAAGAAGCCGAGATGAGAAACTGAGGGACAAGGAACAAGAACAACTACTTAAACCACTGCAAAGTAGCATTGATGATTATTCCTCCTATCAAAAATCAAAAAGTTTTCAACATTATTCAGACTTTCTCACAGTTTTCAGTTCATGGCAACGTCCATATGGGTGGCATAAAATTGTTCAGGATAAAGTTACTTTGTTTAAGTTAGAATATAAACCAGCACCCATCATAACTCACTCTGTAATTTTTGATATTCATTGATATTATATGGAAGTAGTGGAGAATTGTCAATATAAAAATTCCATTGAAAGGAAAGCGGTTAAATGACCTTTATGCAGAGCCTATTGATCCAACAGTGATGGACAAGGTGATGACAGTAAGCTGACATTCTTGCAAAAAATGCTAGATTGGCTAGAAGAGTCGAATGATCCAGCAAAATTTTCAAAAAGACTAACTAGTCAGACTTACACTACACTACATCATACAGTATATGGATTATTGGAATTAGTAAGGTACTGTAAAATCTGAACTGCACAGTAATTATATATATTATATATATTGTTAGGTAAATTTCAAACTGACCCATTGGAAAATAGATTTGGTAAGTATCGTCAACAACATAATTTTCAATAAAGTTTTGGAAAGTGACGAGGAATCATTTTTAGAAATCGCTGATAAGAGACGCGCCCTTTCTCAGTTGATAATTAACAATATGAGTGATAATAATAATGACACTTTATTGCACATTTTTGAAAAATTATTGTGCCAAAAGGAACGACAGCTTGCAAGCGCGAATAAAACAAAGAAACGTAACTTGACTACATTCACATGAGGCAGCAACATTTACATATCTGTAGATAAATGTGTATTTGTACATATTCAGAATTTAGTACTTTAATTTTCGTTATTCTAATTTTTGTTATTTTTGATACTTGTTTTCTGTTTTCTAATTTTTGTTATTATTTTGTGCTGTATATTGTTTGTTCTAAGAGTTTTTATTAAGTTTTCATTAATCTACGTTATGTTTTTTCTGTTGTTTATTTTTCTTTGATTCTATCTGTTTTTCTTATCATTCAGCCTACACTTTTTCCTTCTCATCTTCCTTATTCCTTTCCTGACAAGAGCTTACCTCAGACCTCCTCGTTGGTTCGTGCTGGACACAACTGTTCGACAAGCACTATATTTTTTATATAATTTTCAAGTACCATTATATCATGCCTATAATAATAGTAAATTGTCCACATATTCTTGTGAAATTTTGTTGATCTGTTGTGAGTAACATGGGGTTATTCATTGAATAATTTATAAATTTTTAGCAAGCTTTTATAACATCAACTTATTACTCTAATGTGCACGTAATGTTGGATGAAATATCAGTGAAAATCAGGGTGAAAATAGTTAATAACTACTTTAATATTTTCCACCAAATTGCCTTCACATACCAAAAACACTTTTCTGAATTATCCGTTATTTACTGGAGTATATTAAATATGCTGCAATAATAATATATTATTCACTAGCGCTGATGTACGGCACGCCGTGGTGTCGGCCGGCCGACCGGCCTACTCGTGGTGACGTCACGAGTCTGTTGTCAGGCCTTGTACTCTCGGTGGCAACGGCAATACTCGAGGCTAAGTCTTGAGTGGGCCTTTTATGGAGTGAGGAGGCCATGTGGAGAAAAGTACTTCTTAGTCATAAACAGACTAGCTTTTTCCCAGCAGCTGCCATTATTGACGACATGTGCTGAATGAGTTTACTCCACAATTGCGGGACGTAAGCTAGGAGGTCTCTGTGCCGGAAACCATACTGCCTGTCACTAATCAAGCCGCAACATTCGCGATAGTCCAAAAGCTCACGATTAATGCACCTCTCCATCACCTTATTCAAATCAGAAAGCAGAGCTATAGGCCTGTAGTTGTAAGAGTCGATCTTAGATCCCTTTTTTGGAGATTCAAGGAAGAAACAGGGTGTGCCAATACTTTTTTGCGCATTGTATAATCTTTGAAATGATCACAGGACTGTGATATTGCATACTCACCTGCAGGGATAGCTAAAATGCTAGTCTGTAGCCAATAAAAAGGTTTGCGACATACACTCTAATAACATGACATATTACTAATATTTCAGTTGCTTCCAAAACAACTTGCCGGTAAATAAAGTGACTGATCAATGATTAGATTTACTATTTAATGTTGATGGTGGGCAGATAAACTGTTCACATTTTGGAAATCACACTACAATCACATAATTAGGATACAGGGTTAGGGAGGATGCCCTTCCAAAAATAATATGTGTATTATATTCAAATTAACCTTATTCCTCACGGACACTCTGTCTGGACTAAGACTAATGATAAAATTATACATAATGGGTACTGTTTAGTATAAACGCTCTATTGTGTTGGTATAGATACAAACAGATTACATGATGGTGATATTATTTGTTGATTTAGCATTTTCATAGATCCCTTCTCAATTCAATTCAGATTCGAGAGCTTAGAGCCTGGTATTGTAATATCCAACAATCTAATTTTAGGTGATCATGAGAATCAAAGGGGAGCATTTGGAAAGAAATTAATTGATAATGCTAAAACTCAACAAAACCAAGGGAGCAAGAAAAAAATCGAAATTTTTCGGTGATTTTTGCGAGGCTATATTTTGGTGAGCAATGCTCGTATCTAGACTGAAAAAAGAATTTTGAAGCTTCAAGATTCTAGTTTTCAGGTCTTTTAGCCGAAAATTTTCAGGAGCAATGCTTCTTATGCAGTTTTTACAGATAGCGCAAGAAAAATGTTTTGCATAATTTTTACCTTCTTCTTTTCAGTCCACAGGATTAATTTTTTTTCTGTTAGGTCATCATATGGATCGGATAGTCCGTTTATTCAGCTTCAATGTTATGTTTTTAAAATCTCGATGCGCGGAGATATCTGTCTTTGAATGAAAAAGGATACTTTTGCCATCGACCACTGATATGTCGGTAACTAGTGACCGATTTTAAAATTCAAAATGTTACAGATATCCAATAGTGACAACAAAAGAAGAAAAATTATTTTTCCATTTTCAATCAGATTACATGATGTTTTGATACAAAAATGTTGCTGCTTTGACTTCTTTCAAATCTGGACCAATCGCTCCTGAGAAACCGTACAATGGATCAATCTGCTATCATGCACGGTTATCAGGGGTACACTGAGGTATAAAAAACCTAAAAACATTAGCCTCCTCTTGAGCAGTTCCCAAAATGTGGTAGATTTTCCGTAACAAGGCCAAATGTAACTTTTTTAACTTTTTCAAAATCAATACTAAGCAGACAAAAAACCTCAAAGATTGCAATAAAATTATATTGGAGGTTTATTCCAATTTTTGGAAATACCCTTACATTCTCTGTACGATCACTGGTTACCTAGATGTAAGTGGTCTATGACAAACGGATCCTTTTTCATTTAAAACCGGATATCTTCGTGCCAAATGATCGTCTCGAGATTTTAAAATCAGAATATTGAAGCTGAATTAACGGTCCGTACAATCACCTAACAGAAAAAATTCCGTGGACTAAAAAGAAGACATCAAAAATTTTGCAGAACATTTTTATTCCGCTGTGTGTTAGAATTGTATAATAACTGTTATTCCCAAAATTTTTCGGTTAAAAAAAATGAAACCTAGAATCTTAGAGCTTCAACATTATTTTTTTTATTCCGATACGACCATTTTTCACCGAAATACAGCCTGCCAAAGAACACCGAAAAATTTTGACTTTTTCTTGCTCTCTTAATTTTTTGAGTAGTATACAGATATGATGAAACGCATGTCTGGCGTGCATTCCAAAGATAAGAAAGTTTGTCACAACTGTGCAGAATTTTCCATTGCCGATATAATAAAAATGGCGTCAAGAATACGTTATCCTGTCTTAGAAAAATGTAGGCGGCGATATCACTACACCATTGTTAATCTTACATCGTTTCTGTCGAGCCCTGCGAGGACGGACCCAAGGAGAAAATCATGGACGTAATGACTCAGTTGCAGCCAAAGCCCCCCCCCCTCTTCGTGAGCTTGGATCCTACCCTACGCTCCCTTCTATTGACGGCTTCCTAAGTCCGCCACTGTGACTCAGTGACTCTCCCCTGCTTCAAAAGCTGGGTCCGCCTCATAGTAGAATGTCCAAACAGGTAATGCCTACGTGAAGTCAACAAAGTTGTGCATTGTAGAATTATAAGCTTATTGGACATCATACAAAGCCATTCACTATATAGATGAAATTTATAGATTGAGATATGGTACTTCGCAGAGCCAATCCAACAATGTATTTAAAAAAAAACGAATATAAACCCAATTATAAATTTATTAATTGTTAAAAATGGCAAAAGGTGCTAATTTTTTCTGTTATGAGTTTTAGTTTTTACATCCTGTACAATAATGGCACAAAAACAACCTGAAGATATTTTCATTTCTGCCTAAGTATCACAACTTGTGTACAAGAAATCAAATGACTTTTGGCTCACCAACAGCTCATTCTCGCCATAAAATAAAACTATTTTTTTCTACGGAGTTGAGCTTTATAATAAGAGATCATTGCTGTGACCATAAGTAAATTAGTATTTATGCGTTAAGGCTAGACAAAGTCTGGCATATCAATTAAGCTAAATGTATTTTGTTTAATGAGGTCATTATTGTTACCAATCTTTTGGATGAACCATTAAATTGTGTAGCATCGTTCAAACATAACGTAAAAAACTATTTTCCAGTGGCATAGTTGAGAGTGTTAAATGTTGCAAACCAAAAAAATGCCATCAAGTAGGTTGACTCTGCATTTGCCACGCAACGTCATCAGATCACAGAAGTTTATGTTCAACTCAAGTTAACCCTTCTGAGTAAAAAATTAGCTACCAAGATGTATAAAAGGAACAAGTCAGTCAAACAGGCCCAAACAATTAGTCCATAGACATTTTCTTCCTCCTCTACCGTCCATTTGGCAACATTGTCCCTTCCCCATACCTCACCGCACGACGCGTCAGACTCACCGAAATCTATCATGTGTAAAATATTACTAATAGGTACGTAGAATTACTGGGGTTGGAAGAGGATAAATATACTAATATTCAAAAATTGAGACATACCTACCACGCAATCCCCAATTTTTAAATTTTTTGAAGTGTTCAGGTGCCTCTGAAACGTCTTTAAGCATAGATTGAGCAAGTTTTTTCGTTTTTTTATCCATAGCTTCAATGCCACTGGGTCACTTCACAAAAACTACAGAGCTTTTTCGTTCTTGGCATAGTAGTGACTTTGTTTAAGAATTTTAGCAAAATCCGAGCAGTTCTTTCCAAGATAGAAACAATCCAAGGATTAGCGGACAGACGGACAGATAGACAGATGAAAACGAGTGAAATGGTTCACGTCATATAGCATCCAAAAAAACATCTCAAATTCGAAATTTTCCACAATTACAATACTTCCTCGACAGTGGCGTAGGAAGTAAAATGATCTGTGATACTGACAAACATACATATATTACGTAAATATAAATCTCAAACATCTATGTACAAATACGCTTGGTTCATATAAAATTATACAGGTCTGTTGCGCACCTAACATTCGATACATTCAATATAAGTTCCTATTTATTTGTGGCTGAAGTAACAGCACAAAAATTCTGATACCACTGAAAACTCTGTCTTGTAAAACCCTGTTTCTCCACAGCAAATTATTCTAACCGATCAATGGGGTGATAAAATCATCCTCTGTTATATCAGTCGGTATTAGTCGTATCTAATATACTGGTGAAATCAGTACTGATGCTCTCGAAATTGTCGGATTTGCTAGCTTTCACAATGGGACTTTTCGGTCTCGATGTTCCAGAGGTACTTGCTACGGGGGCTCGGAAAATCTCTTCTGCACTATCGTCATCTTCATCGTCTTGCTCTAAAAAATCATACAACGATAAATAATCTATTCTCAAAATCCTGTGAAATTGAATGATGCGAATGTTAATATCATAATCTGTATGATGTAACATTCCTTTCTTATGAACGTGAGAAACAAAAGTAAACAACTGCGTGCTACACTATCATACGCTTTTTCTGTGTGCAGCTTATAGTTTCATTGATGCTAGTGAAATTGCTTATATTCAGTTGAAATTATGAATTTTTTTGTATGTTAAAAGCAGGCGATTAAGTAATATGTAACATCGTCTTAAGGCAAACTGCAGCTTATTGGACCACTGCCAGAGATTACAAGATATGTTCTATAATATAGTAGGAATCTGGATCTCATTGGTGATATGAATACGTTATGGTATCTGTTACCAATTAAATTTGTGAGCTCAAAATAATAAAATGGGACATACCTAAATAACGCGGATGTCTATATCGGTCTCTCCATATTGTGTATACCACATATCCTGCGATCCCTAAAAGCACAATTCCTATTAGGGATATTATTATCCTAATAGTGTTAATCTAAAAAAGAAATTGATAGTTTAGCGATGTGCAAATGTGAGGTATGGAAAATAATGAGTAAGTATTTTGAGACGGAATCAGAAATATGCTACTTACACCTGAACTGTGTTCCTCTATGTGCTTCCAATCATAGTTTACTATAAGTTTCGTTCTTTGAGTATATATTTTATTGCCTTCAACTTGCCTGGACACGCAATAGTAGTCTCCTGCATCTTCTGTATTCACAGCCTGCAAAAGTATAAAAAATATGTTTTTAATTTTTTTGTTACCCTGGTTAGCCAGATATTAATTTCTTACGGAAGCAGAAATATAAGAGAAATTTTAAGGAATTGCAATTGGTAAATAATATTAAGAAGCTCCAGAATGATTCCATAGTAGATTCCATATGACCAAAGTCATAGACCTTTGCTTAAAAAATTTCAAATTATATAGAATTTTGAACCAAAACGGAAGATAGCAGCATAACGCATCGTACAGCAGTAGTAGTACACGGTGGGACAAGAGCTCATCGACTTTGCCTATACAAAGGCACACCGCATAAACAGTGGCGTACGTGCTTCTCCTCCGTTTTTGTACTCAAATGTAACCACATCTATAAAATATAATCACGGCAAACTATAATAGCCACTGTTGGAAAACGATCTGTGGGATCTACAATAATGTGGAGGGGCATTTGAATTTAAACACGTGACGGCTAGCTAGGTGAATATTTGATAGTTGAAATCGCAGTCCTAACGGACAATATTTCTGAGCCTCTAAGAACAACTCTCCATGTAGTAAGATTAGGACAAGATTAAGCCTTCAGATTGATAATTTTTTTACAGCTTCAGCTGAGAACTTTTCGGTACGTTATGTTACGTTATGGAGATCTTGACAGCAACTTAGTGTCTAAAATCACACAAAAAAAAATAGACAAAGATATATGGTTTGCATTGTAATGGAAGCGACTGGTTGCATAGAAAAAAAATGTAACATTCAAAGTAATGCAATAGTTACGAGGTCTGTAAATTAAGTAATAAGACTGACAACGTAGCGTTTGATCTGGTAACACTGGAGGCGCCGGGCTTTTACGGGAGACAGGGTAATGCTGCTGTTATCCCGCAGATGCTCGTGAAACAAATTTAATCTTCGATGTTGTTCGCTCGAGTTCGCCCTCCACCCGGACATTCTGAGAGTGGAGTGAGCTTACATCCGGAATTCTTCGTACTCGAGGATCCATCATCATGAATTTCTTTGTTTTGGAAGATAACCGACTGAATAGCTTAGGTGTGGAAATATGCGGACATTTATGATACACCCTGCGAAAAGCTATAGGGTGGTACCGCCTCGGCCGACGGGTCCTTGTCTACCACCTTCTTTTTGCGTGTTAATGATATTAAATAGACTTAAAGTGGCCCGTTGGCGGACTTGTACCGCCACCCGGCAATCGGTACTGAGGTATTCCTTAACACGTGTACGAGAAGAAGTTGTATGCTGGATACAACAACTTCCGGAACAAGCATTTGCTACGGCCCCGCTCAGTAGGGGTTGGGGTTTTTGAAATTCAATATAGATGTTTCAGTTATTTTTCAGACTTTCGTTGTCGAACTTAGATTTACGGCGTAGTTGTCTTCTCAGTTTTCGAACCGGTGTTGATCGCATGTAGAAATGTTGGAAATCCTTGGAAAAAACTGTATCTGTTAGATCGTAATTATTTTGATAATGTACGTTTGTACTAAACAAGTACAGGAATACAGGGCTGTACATATTCACGTATAGTGCAACAGCTCTGTGATTTAAACGAATTCAATATAAATACCTGTAGACATACGCGAGAAGACATTCGGGACGTATGGTATTGATTTTGAGCATCGATCGACGCAGTTTCTAGACAGGCCACAGGCGCACCGCTAAAAAAATCTCATAAATGTCTATGTCCAATTTAGGCATTCATCTAACATAGTGCTTCGCTTCAATTCACTATTGAGCAACAAACACAACATAAATCACTTTTTAAGTGCAATCTATATAGCTAATATATTACACAGACTTAGATTTGTCACAAGTTACAATACTCGTATATATGTATAAATCGTAAGAGTTGTGCTGTAAACAAGAGATGTCAACCAGGGACAGGAATAACCAAAGGATACCAAAAAATCATAACGCTCAGTTCCTGTGACTTATAGTTAGTATGCCTCTGTCACCATGATATGACAGGAAGTAATACAATGGGGTTAGATTGCAAAAGAAAATGTCAGAATCTAGGGGGGGGGGGTGACCGCGCCCCCCTCTAAATCCGCCGGTGCCGTGAAATAACTATTTTGAACTCATTATGCGGGATAAAAAGACACCTATATGTTACTCGAGACTATATTATTCTCTTTACCAAATTTCATTCAGATTCGTTCAGCTATTTTGGCGTGGTTGAATAACAAACATATTATACACTTCCTAATTTGTACAGGGTGTTTCAGTTTATTGTTGCATAACTAAATAAGATTCGATAGAACTTATAAAATTAAAGCATAAAGTCTATATCAACATGGGTCGAAAAATGCGTGGTTTCCGAAATACAGGGTGTTTAAATTTACTTTTTAAAATATTTCGAATATTTCGAACAATATTTGATGTATAACAGTGAAAATTGGTATACAAGGGTCTCTTGGTACGACAAAACGACCCATGGGCATAGTTTTACTGTAGCCACTAGAGGGCGCTCTCCATTGTACCTGTAGTGTATTAAAATGACCGAAGATTTTTTCTTAGTGCAATTTTTTGCTTTTTGAATGAAAAAACTGATTCTTGGCACTTTTCTGCATAAAAATGCTCTCTTGTGAGTTTTCGTTATAGTTAGCCATTTTCGAGATATTTCGATTTTTAAGGTTCGATGCATTTTATATTATGTATGGGAAAATAATCTTTTTTTTACATTTTCGATTTGGGCATTATAAGTAATAAGGATGATCGTTTAGATTGTGTTTTTTAACACAGCAATAATTCCTAATTCCAAATAAACACAAAAAAACAGAATATTAATTTGTTTAATTTTCCAATATTATTTTTAACAAATTAAATTAATTATTTACAACTAAAATGCTATTGGATAGTTAGGACAAACATACAAAATCTAAAGTAGTTGCTCGAAATGTAAACCCAATTGTTCAGTGCACAATTCACATCTACGAATGATCGAACGTGGTATAGCATTATTCGAATGAGGCCTTATTTCATCACATGCATTCCTGATTCTGTCTATTAGCATATCTCTTGTGGTTACGGGAGTCTGGTACACTTTTTCTTTTAGAAATCCCCACCCAAAGAAATCTAATGGATTTAGGTCAGGGGATCGTGGAGGCCAGGCGACTGGTCCTCCACGGCCGATCCATCTTTCTGTTCGTCCAGCCAGTTTCTAACAATTCTCGAATAATGAGCTGGACAACCATCAAGCTGGAACCAGGCCAATCTTCTCAAATCTAACATAACATCATCCCACATATTTGCATATTCAGCCTTTAAAAATTCCAAGAAGGTCGCAGCATTTAGCCTTGCAGGCAAAAGGTAGGGTCCAAATAGTCGATTACGGTAGATACCAATCCACACGTTCACACTAAATTCATGCTGAAAATTTCTTTCCCGAACTGCATGCGGATTTTCATGCGACCAAACGTTACTTAAAAACTCCCTATTATTATCAGTTCTATCAAGAATCCACTGACAAAATGTGCTTCTTCGTTCTCCGTCCCCTGGCTGTAGTCCTTGCACAGGTTGCAAATGGTAAGGACGTCTATGGTCATTTCTAAGAACACGTTGAACATGGCTTGCTGAAATTCCCAAGGCACCAGAAACTCTCCTAACACTTGTGGTCGAATCTCTATCAAACTCACGCAGAATCATACGGGTCAATCTGCGCTGACGAACATTTATGTTTTGATCCCTTTGGAGATTTCCAAATCCATTTTCAATTATTTGGCGATGCACTCTTGCAAATACTGAGCGAGTTGGATGTCGTCTGTTTGGAAATCTTCGTGCGTATTCTCTGGCTGCTTCTGCTGCGTTTCCATTTACAAAGCCATACACAAAATGAATATCCGCTAACTGATTGGAGAATAAAAATGACATTTTTATAAAACTTACAAAAAAAACAGGTAAAAGAAACTAAATTTCGTGCATTCACATTTGCAAAAAAACGTTTCAGGTGTCAACAGACAACAAAACTAACTGTCAACTAATTGACGTTTAACCTTATTCTGCTTTCAATTTCAAAAATATTTGCAGGCACAGCCTACTTCTAAAAATTATCGAGATACTGAATTTATAACGTTATTTTATCATAAATAATTAAAAATGCATCGAACCTTAAAAATCTAAATATCTCAAAAACGGCTAACTGTAACGAAAATTCACAAGAGAGCTTTTTTGTGTTGAAAAGTGCGAAGAATCATTTTTTTATTCAAAAAGCAAAAAATTGCACTAAGAAAAAATTTTCGGTCATTTTAATACACTACAAGTACAGTAGAGAGCGCCCTCTAGTGGCTACAGTAAAACTATGCCCATGGTTCGTTTTGTCGTACCAAAAAATCCTTGTATACCAATTTTCACTGTTATACATCAGATATTGTTCGAAATATTTAAAAAAAACTATTTTAGAAAGTAAATTTAAACACCCTGTATTTCGGAAGCCACGCATTTTTTGATCCATGTTTATATAGGCTTTATGCATTAATTTTAAAAGTTCTATCGAATCTTAAAGTTATACAACAATAAACTGAAACACCTTGTATTATAAAGTAGGGAAGTAGGATTAAAAAGGTACGTCCTTGGTCTTACATAGTATTTTAACACTAGTAGTATTACAAAAGACTAAAAATTCTCCTAAAATCACTCAACTTCCATAAACTTTGTGTTCATTTATCTATTACTTGTTAAATTTTAGACTGAGAAAGGTTTTATCAGTAGGTACGGTTCGTGCGACTAAAAGACGAAATATGTCTGAAGCTTGAATAAGCACTAAAAATTACAAACTAGGTATTTGACAGGTCAAATTAACTTTCTATAATCCTTTTGCTCGTAGCACACACCTACCTTGATAGTAAGATTTCCCGATAGAATCTCATACTTGTATTTCCCCTTGTCGTAATCGTCATTAGCAGGGCCGATCACCAGATTCTTCCTATTGATAAACCAATAATCGAGGAAATAATGCTTGACATTGCTCCTACACCTGAGCACTGCCGTGTCACCGAACTGCACTTCTTCTGCATAGTAAACTCCGTCCTTTGAATAAATCTGAGTCGGAATACACTTTGCGTTATGTAATAGAGACAGAAAGGCTGCAGCCACTAGGACGTGAAGTGTATCTAACATTTCCGCGGGGCAACGGGATGTCACTGTACGGCTTCCAGAGTTAATTTGGAAAAGAGGAGGAAGGTTAAAGTTGGCGCAATCTTGTGACTTTGTCGAGTCGACGCGTCGGCCGTCACTCTCATTTTTTGTTTGCCCGTTGTAAATTTAGTCGCGGTTTGCGTCACTGAGACGAGCCTCCGCAGTTAGGCAAACCTTGGGCAGGTATTTTGAGTTTGGCATGTGCGAATTACGTTGGAGTTGGGCCAGGTGGACTGCGTTGTTTTTAATTAGGTGATTTAGCTTGTAGACCGGTCATCACATTGTGATTATTTTTTTGTTTCTCTATTTCACTGTGAATGAACTGTGTAAATCAATATCGGCGTCGAACAAGCGTTTTGCATTACAACATTGAATATAAAACACATAAAAAATAGCGTCAAGTAGGTTGACACTGCACTATTATCAGTATCATAAAAGATTATGTTCAGCGCAAGTTGTCCCCTCTTACAAAAAAGTTAGCTAAGAACTTGTATTACAAAGAATTAAACGGATCAAGTTAGTAAAACAGACTCGTATAATTAAAATTTGAGTATTTACCATGTTTTTTGTACAATTTTTGGCTCTTCAGGATTTGGCTCCCTGAGAAAATATGCTCTCCCTCGCTCTTCAACAAGTTTTCCACCGAGAAAAATTCCTGCAGGCGTATAAGTATACCATATTCAAAAACAATTTATTTTCTCAAAAACATTTTAGATACACTCTAGTCGTAAAAAATACATATTTGAAATCACTTAGACCTATAACTAATACAACATCTGAACAAATAAACGACGTGCGAATAAATGCGCGAAGTTAACAAAGCAACAATTGAAAGATTACCATTGGGTAACATCACCTTTATTTTTTACTACGGCTGAAATTCGTTGGGGCATTGTGTTAACCAAGTTTTGAGAAAAAAATTGGTGTAAAACAATCCCATATTTCTTGAAGCTTTTGTCTCAGTTCGGTGATTGTACGAACAGGATGTTGTCGTAGAACCTTTTTATCTCGTGCCATAAAGTTTCAATGTGACAGATTTGGACTGCTAGAAACCCATTTCAAAAGTGGTACATTATTTTCTTCTATCCATTTTATAGCCTTTTTTGAGGTATGGCAGGCTGCACCATCGAGCTGAAACACAAAATCTTGGCCAGATGTCAAACATTCTTCCATCACTGGTAAAAGCGATTCTTCTAAAATTGCCAAATATTTGTTTGTATCCACATCTCCATCAATAAAATGAAGTTTTCCTACTCCTTTTGATGACATACTGCCCCAAACCATAATGGATGCTGGAAATTTCACTTTTCTCTTCAGACAGTCAACATGGAATGCTCCATTTTTTTTGCGAATAACTCTACTGCGACTGTCACCAACACAAACTTCGAATCGGGCCTCATCACTCCATTGTATTGCACACCATTGTTGAGGTGTCCATTGTCTATATTCTTTAGCCCATCTAAGCCGATTTTTCTTTTGCAGTGGAGTTAATAGTAGCTTTTCTTTGGCCTATAAACAAGTTGTGCAACTTTAGGGTTTTTACTTCACTTTTTTTTATAAGAAAACTTACCTTGCAAGTGTTAAATCCCATTTTGAGGGCCTCTCTATGAGTTGTGGACCTCGAAATTCTCCTTCCGACAGCGTCACTCCACAGAGCACTTAATTGTAAATAATTGGCACGCCTGTTTTTCACGATTATTCTTCTTAATGCTCTTCGGTCGGCATTTGTGATAATACTTTTTTTCACATATCGTGGTTTTATATTAACTGAACCAGTTACTTTATATCTTTTAACAATATTTCTCACACTGTACCGCGATAAGCCTAACAAGATTGCAATTTCTGAGTTTGATTTCCCAGAATCAAAAAATTTAATTATCAGTAACCGAATTTTCTCACTAATAACCTTTCCTCCACTCACTTTGAAAACCTTAACTACCCAAAACTATTTTAAACGTATTCTGACAGCTGTGATTAATAAAAACAATTGTCATGGCTTTTATTTTTCACAGCCACCTATGCGTTATAGACTTATTTTGCATTGAAATGAAAATAGTTTGATATGCTGTAATTGCAACATGTGTTATTTTTATGCTGCAAATTTCATTAGGGAGTGATAAAGTTGGTGTTTTCTACTATATATTATCAAAATATTCATTGTTAACATTTTAAACCTATAACGCCCTGCTACATTTTTATTATTTGTGTTTGATAAAAAAAACTAAGATTTCAACAGTTGGGCCAACTGAAGTGGGAAGGGGCTCGTACTTTTCACCCCCTAATTTTTTTTTCAAAAATGCCCTGGATCCTCCGAAACGTCAAAAAAATACGAAGTTTGAGCGATTTTCGTTTTCTCAATATTTTTGCCCACAGCTCCGCCACCACTGGATCGATCTTCAAAATCTATAAAGCTTTTTCGGCCCTGGCATGGTAGTAACCTTGTTTGAAAATTTTACCAAAATCCGACTGGTACTTTCCTAGTCATAAAGGAGTCAAGGATTAGCGGACAGACAGACAGGCCGGAAAAGAGTGACATGGTTTTTCGTGATTTATGGTCATACTACTAATAATAATAAAGGATTTATTGCCCAACACTACAGGTACCATTTAGAGAGCAATACATAGTACAATGGTTTAATTTACACAGTCTATGTGTCATAAAGTAAAACAAAAAAAAAACACACAGAAAAGAGGAAGGCGCTCTAAATAGAGAGAAAAGAAACTATAAATATGATTAATAGATATTATTAAACCAGAATATACTCGTATATACATACATATCCATATACACATACATACATATACACCTATACATATATACACACACATATATGTTTATAATGATGTGCCAAATAGTATTAAGAGATTGAGATATTCTACTGTTAAAAAGGAATTAACAAGATGGATTATTGATAGTCAATACGCCATTAATTATGTAATATAAAAACCTGTAGCATTAAAGGTATTAAGTTCCTAAAATTTAAGATAAAACATAATAGCTTTGAATTTGTTTGATCTATTTTTATATTTCTTTTTCTCTTTGTAAATAAAGTCTATATATTTAATATGATGTAAAAAACATGTTGAATCTGCTGCTAATAAATTTACTTTATTTAAATTTACTTTCAATATATATGTATATACTAGGTGACATATAAATCTGAACACCCAGTTTAAATGGTTTTATTTTAATAAAAGTTGGTGAATGTATTTATCTTACTGTAAATAACAAGTGAAAAAATTTTCAGCCTTATCAGTTGGATATTCCGGTTTTTATACTGCTTTTTTTTAATTCACTAACGCTCTAAAAATGAATATTTCAGCCGCAGTAAAGAATCAACGTTGGCGGATTTTGGTTCTTGACATCCTTTACGATCGGTTACGATGCCTAGAGTACGGAGACCTGTACGATTTCGTCAACTTAGTGAGTTTGATAGGGGCTGTATAGTGGGACTTCGGGAAGCTGGACTTTCTTTTCGGGCAATTGCAGTTAGAGTGCAAAGAAGTGTAGACACTGTGGTTAGGTGTTGTCAGGCATGGCTTCGAGAAGGCCGTACGCAAAGAGCAAGGGGCACTGGACGCCACCGTAGAACAACAGACCGTGATGATCGCCGCCTAAGATTATTGGCCTTAAGGGACCGTTTCTCCACTACCAGGTCCATTGCAAATGAATGGTTTGCAGAACACGGAAGACCTATTGGCATGCGAAGTGCTTACCGATGAATGAGAAGTATTGGCTTGTTTTCATACCGGACACACTGGGTCCTCCCTTTAACTCGAGAACACCGACGTAATCGCCTTGAGTGGTGCAGACAACGGTCACTCTGGGATCAGGAATGGAACAGTATTGTCTTTAGTTACGAGTCTCGATTTTGTTTAGGCATGCACGATGGTCGTGCCAGGGTTAGAAGGCGATGTGGTGAAAGGAGGAATCCACAGTTTTTTGTTGAAAGACATGTTCATCACACTGTTGGAGTTATGGTTTGGGGTGCTATAGCTTATGGTTCCTGGTCACCTTTAATCTTCATCAGAGGTAACATGAACGCGCAGCGTTATATCCACGAAGTTCTAGAACCCCATCTTTAACCCTATCTTGACACCCTGGCAGATCCAACTTTCCAACAAGATAATGCCCGACCACATGTTGCAAGAGTCACAATAGACTTCTTTCAACATAATGATGTCACATTGTTACCATGGCCACCAAGATCTCCCGACTAATCCCCAATGGAGCACGTGTGGGATATGATGGGTAGGAGATTGCTCAATTTGCAACGTCCTCCTCAGACTCTAGAAGCACTTCGAGAGGAGTTGGTGGTTGCCTGGAATGAGATACCACAGGAGGACATTGACCACCTGATCAGAAGCATGCCTAGGCGCGTTGGAGAATGCGTAGCACATCAGGGTGCATCCACACATTATTAAAGGTCAAAGGGCTTCAAAGCAGTGCAATCATTTTGAAATTTTTATCATTTACTTATTATGCTTCATTAAGTACTTATACCAAATTTTATTAAAATAAAACCATTTAAACTGGGTGTTCGGATTTATATGTCACTTAGTATATATATATATATATATAGCCATATCATGTAATGTTCAACCTTAAATATATAACAAACGAAAACCTCTAGAGAAAGGCGTAAAAAAAGTCAAAGATGTGAAAGTATAGAACTTCGTAATTCCTGAAATCCACAACAGAAGATATCATAAAAACTCACAATCCTATTCGCATTATTGCACATAAAGTTTATTGGTGCTTTAGATAGCAGATTTGTCTGCGCCCTCTTGCAGAAAAAGGAAACTTAGATATTTAGATGTCAATCTAGGTACCAGGAAATTAATTTCCACTTATCAAGAAAAACCGATGAACGTAGAAGTGAATTATAAATTGTCAACAAAGGAGTTGCGAATAGCTTTACACAGTCTTTAATGAAAAACGATGGAAGTTGATCTGGCCCTGATGTAAATTTGTTTTTGAGTTTGTTTTTCACTTATTGACTAACATGTTATAATAATAAGAATATCATTGTTACAATTTTTATACTCATCACTTATAACACGATCATCCGGTGGAGAGTAGACACTCTGAAAAAAGTCAGCAAAAGCATTGACTATTGATCATTACAGGAGTTATTTTGGTAGAACGTTTTATTAGGAATTCTAGATGTGTTACTCTTACTGTGCATGAATGACCAGAAAGATTTAGGTTCATTAATAAGCTGGTTTTGAAGTGTTTGAATGTAAGTTATATAAGCCTGATTAATTTTTTGTTTAAATGTGGCTCTAAGCCTATTGAATTCTTGATAATATGCGATGTTATTGGTAGCCTTGAATCTTTTATGATATTTAGCCTTTCCTTTTACTAATGCAATCATTTCCTATGCTTGAATATTTTTGCAGAAGGAACATGTCTGTCAAGTATTAGAAATAAGTTGTTGTAGGAAGTTTCAACTGCTTGGATAGCATCAATCACAGTCTCTAAGAAATTCCAGTTTGTGGATACCAGTTCCTCATAAAGCGTGAGAAAATTAGCTTTTCTGAAGTTATACCGCTTATGCTGAGTGTTGCTGGCAAATTTTTTCACTCCAAAATGAAGTTGATTTATATACGAGTATAACACACAAAAAACATACCTCATTTTCGCTATTACAATACCTCTCCTCCGTTATACGTGACCTGCCATGTATACTGTAAATTATATGTGTTTTAGAACCTATAAGCCAGTGTTACAAAAAAAAAGAATGCTGAAAGCCTCGAAAACTATAAGACTATTACAGAAACAAAATGTGACTATCCAGGAGGCCATGATGTGGCCTATCTACAGTCGCAGGATTATCCTTCAATTTCGGTACACCCTGTATAATACATCTACCTAACTCAATTCGCGTTTATTCTGAAAGTGATTTTCACAGCGAAGAACCATTTGCAGCTCTTCATGAACCTTTCCTCTTTCAAATTTGTGAACATATACCTTGATCACCCTTCATGTATCTCACCTCGGAAGTGTTAAATCACTTCGTCACATTGGGAAGCGCTTCAAACTACCTCATTTTTACTTGACTACGCTAGATGTTTATTTTTCAATTGCCATATACCTATACGGGTATTGCAGAAATTGTATTTACATCGTGATAGTTTTGATAAACTCCAAGGATAACTATCTATATGTTTAATTCTCGTCTATGTTTATTTGTGTGCACCTGATACTTACCAGACTAACTGGGATCTAGGCAACAGGCTCGTAATTCGAGTTTTACTTAAACATTGACCTGTTAGAAGCACCGTAGTGCATACAGGGTGAGTTTTAGTGTACGCATGGTATCTAAAAAAGTTAATGACAACTTCTTGCTTAGAAAATATTTTCATTCCTAATGGGTGATTCGTAACTACATGGTGACACACACATATATTATTTGAATACAAATACGTGCATTCTATTTGATATAACATTCTATACTGTGCTATTTCCAAATTGTTGAAATTTTGGCCAGTCAAGAGAACTGAAGTTTTTGTTTGAAACATCTTGTGATTCCATACTTTCTCCCTATCTGCTCACTTTTTCAATCTCTTAGTCAATTTATACAGGGTGGCCAAGAACGCAAAATGACTCCTCATAATTTTCAAATGGAATACCTTGTATATCTTCATACTTTTTGATTTTTTTTCTTATATCAGGCTTATGGGGGTTCGTAGTACTGGTTTTTGAGATACTAAAAACACAAGGACACCTCCATGACTTTCCACCTTTTTTGCATAAGGTTAGATAGATCTAATTTATAATGGAAGTATACAAATTTTCACCATCTGCTGTTACTAACTCACTGCTATTTTTTATTTTTGTATTGTACTATAATATTTTTCATTTTCATGTCCGAATTACAAAAACTGTAACTCAAAAGGATTCATATAAACACTCATAGAAACTCCCACAAACCTTACATGGAAGAAAAGCTTGTGAAAAGGGTATTGAAAAAGTGTGAAAATATATAGGGGGGTCTATTTAAAAAAATTAGCAATAGTTCCCTATAGTGTGTAACATCAAATTGCTTCATTTGAATAGACTTATTCGAATCAGCAATAAAATGTGAGTCTTTCGATTAAAAAAATGTATTTTTGGGTCACCACGTAGTTATGTATCACCCTGTAGAAATAAAAATATTTCAGTTCAGGAGCACACGCCGGCTACAATTTTTGAAATTAACTTTTTCAGATGCAATGCTTAATAACGGGATTATCGACGGAGACCGCATTAAAATGTTACTTAATTAAAATAATTACTTCCCAAAATTATTGCTCTATATTTTCAATTCACTTGAACAGGTTTATTTGGTGGATTTACAGAATGAAACACATTTTCTGGGGACTATTTTTATATTTTTTTGTATAATACTGTATATACTGTAACAAATAAAATAATACATGTATATCAATAGCTAAATTAACTTTGTACAACACATATTTATAAAAAATACTGTAAGGCATACTTAAAACAATACAACAGTGTAAAATGGTAAAAATAATATTAAGCTTATATGACACGCAAAAATGTTGCAGAAGTTCATCATTTTATAACTTTGTAACCTTTATTGTTGACTTGTGATATACAGATATCGAGAGATTTTGGCTTAATTATTTTAAATAATACTCTGACATGGAACGTTTTTTTGGTAAACATGGTGGTGGCCTTGGATAATCTTGAGCTCGACCTTCAAGGTTATTTCAAGGTCAACTTTGTTTTTTAAATGGTAATCCCTCTTTTTGACAGCGAAAGGTCGAAAAATCCTACGTACAAATATGTATCAAAATCTAAGATTTAAGTTCACCTCTAGAGGTCAAATGAAGTTCAAATATATGGGGCTAGGATAAATTCCTAGATATTTAGCGGGCTTGTGGGCGAGTAATTTTTAACAAGGATTACAATAAAGAAGTAAATTTTAACACAAATTCCAATAAGGACCTTGGATTCAACCTCGAACTTCACCTTCAAAGTTGTTTCAGGAGCACCGGTATTGGAAAATACGCTCTCATGTACTTGAAGTTTCAAGGTCAAACCCAATGTCAATATTGTAATCCTTGTTAAAAGTTACTAAAGGCCTAATCTTGATTCCTTCCATCAATAATCTGGATAAATGTCTAGGAATTTTTCTAACATCACATATTTGATCTTCATTTGATGTTTAGCAGTGACCTGGTTCTTAGATTTTAAGACATATTCATAAGTAGCATTTTTCGTTCTTCCTAGTTCCGGTGCCAAAAGGTAAAAACGAAGGTTGATTTTGAAATAACCTTGAAGGTGCGACTCAAGATCAAATCCAATATCCGTATGGTACTCCTTACTCAGTCAGTAACCTGAGGTTGAGCTTTACTTTTTTTAAAATACCTTACCTGGAAGAATACACCCGATATCGCAGCATTAGAATTTCAGACAAATGTCATTCTCAGTATAACTAAAAACTAGGGTATAGAGGATATAGAAAAGAATGATGGCGATGAACTGTTAGCGGATTCCAAGGATACTGATAGAATTTTCTTTAATACTTCTGCAACGTCTTGTAAAATGTATAAATACAGAGGTAGGTAAGACAAAAATTATAAAAAAGTAGATCTCATTTGTTCCTCTAAACCAATTCAAGAGTTGAAGTCTCATATCCTGTAAACACTTCGGTTTCAAGGAGCTTTTAGATGAACAAGTCAAATCCATGAAGGATGAAATGAAGGCTAAATTAGAGTCACTTTGTGTACTGCCGAGTGCCTCATTCATCCTTTGTGAAATAATACGTATTCTATACACAACTCCCATAAATAGATAATTTCACAGGTGCCAATAATTCTTAAGTAAAAGGCACTTTGACACAAATGTTGTATGCTGCATGGCGAGAACAATTATTGGTGCTTTGCCTGCTTGTTAATCTAAGGGGTTTGTGCATATTAAAAAATATTGTATAAATATCGGCTCTAATATTATAAAATACTTACGTAAGTTATTCTATAAACAGAAAACTTCATATGAAGTAAGTAAGCAGTATAAAAGTTAAGTATATGAAAGCTCCTTTTAAGAATAAAATGTAAGTACCGACTGTTGATTACCCCTTACCAGCAGGTAAGGTGGCATATCTCTGGTCAGCACCTCCAACCACGCCATGTATAGAGGTGCTGAGACTGTGCCTTTCCTTGGCATTGGAAGGGACCTGGAATAAAAGAGAGTAGTTACATATTTATAAAATGTTTACGGTTTATTCAGGCTGATTTAGAAATCACTGGCAATTTTCCTCTAGCAGAAGGTATATCCAACAATAACAAAAAAGTTCCTGCCATGATGCAGTATGCCATTATTATTGAGCCTGAATAAGGACAAACTCCTTGATTTTTGAAGAAACGCTTCTATACGTCCTAACGCCAAATATCTGCATTGTTGACTTGCAAACCGAGTCTAGGCATGGGTAAATGAGGACTAGTGAGCAAGTTAAAATTGACAATAAAAGGCTTTCACACTACTTTTTACGGCACTTAAAGTTTTGAATATGGCGACTAAAATATAAGAGCTTCACTCTCATATAACTCGACTTCATGATACTATTCACATGTAAGTTATATCTAAGAATTGCATCAAATCAAGTCATCAAGTCCTCGTTGGTTGTCAGAGCGGTCCGTGGGACCTTAGCTCTTCAGTCACAGTGTTAGTTTGTAAGTCTGTCAGGTCTGGTAACCCAGAAACCAGACAATTTTAAGGAAAAAAGGGAAGGAAAGGAGAGAAGGAAGAACGAGAGCAAAGAGGAAGAAGAGAATCTTTTAGGATAGGCAGCGTTTAGGCATTGTTAAAATCACTTCACAGATTTTGATATGGTATAAAAATATTCGATTTTTTCTGAAGATTTTATCAAAATGCTCCAATTTTGGTTGTTCTACGTTCACGAGTTAATTTTGATTACAGTGCGAGCCGCGGCCTTTTGTGCTTGCGAACTTGCTCGACTGTGTAGTCCACTGACTCACGCAACAGAGGGTTGCTGTGCGATTCCGCTAGGCTATAGCGCCGCTGCGCCTGTTGCTTAATGTAGTCCTTTAGGTAAGGGACAGCCAGGTCTCTATGTAGAGTTTCGTTAGAGACATACCATGGGGCATCAGCAATAGTGCGCAACGTCCTGCTATGCAGAACCTGCAGATTTCGCATGTGTGTTTTAGCAATAAAACACCAAGCCGCACATGCGTAAGTCATTGCTGGTCTTATGACCACCTTATAGAGTCGAATCTTGTTAATCAAACTTAATTTTGAAGGTTTACGTAATAATGGGTAAAGCTGTCGAAACGTAATTTGGAATTTAGTTTTTAGCGCTTCTATATGGTTCCGCCAAGTCATCCCTTTGTTCAGAATGACACCGAGATACTTAGCGGAGGATTCCCATGGTATACGAAGTCCATTCATTGAAACTTCAGACGGAACGGCGCGACGTCTTTTTGTACAGTAGATTGCCTGCGTTTTCGAATGATTTATTTTAATTAGCCACCGATCCGCCCAATCTAATACTTCCTCCACCGCACTTTGCAGCCTGTCATGGACTAGGTCACCAGACCACGACTGAGCCACCAATGCAGTATCGTCAGCATAGAGATATACTTCACAGTTGCTGGGACTAGGGACGTCATGGATGTACAGTGAGTAAAGGATAGGTCCAAGGACCGAACCCTGAGGGACGCCGGCTGTAATCAGCCATGTTGACGACAGGACATTGTCAATTTTGATCCGAAATTTATAACCGCCTATAGCTCCGTACTATGTTCAGACCGAAAACCGAATTGCACGTCAGGAATCACATGGTGATCTGACGAGAAATTCTCAAGGTGACGTAGAATCACCTTTTCAGCGAGCTTGGAGCTGACAGCAGGCTAATGGGACGATAATCCTGGGGAAATATCGAACCCACCTTCTTTGGAATCATTATAACTTCAGCGGTCTTCCACGCGGATGGGAAGTACTGGATCCTTAGCATGGCATTGACTATTGCCACGAGATAAGTTAAGGACTTCCGCGAAAGCAGCTTCAGCGCCTTATTAGTGATTTGATCCTCCCCAGGTGCTTTACACACTTTAAGGTCTTTAATATGACCTTGAACCTCTGCTGGTGTGCAATGCGGGATCTCAGGATATACCGCTGATGTGCCAAGCAGATCTTCGGTTGAAGAAGCTTCTGAAGAAGAATATTCTGATGAAGAAAAATCGCCAACGATAGCGCGACTGTCACTGACGCCGTTGGCCCTAAAATATCTCGTCCAGGTCATTATCAAGATCATAGTTGGGAGAGAACTGTCTTTCTATGGCATCGGCGAAAACCTCAACCTTCTCCTCTGTCCTGAAGACAATGCCTCCAGGACCGTGAATGTGTGGGATTGGTTCACGCTTTCCGTTTCTGAGCGACTTCGCCACCTTCCAGAGAGGAATGCTTGAGTCAAGCATCCCCGCCAGGAAGTCGTTCCATTGCTCATTGCGGAATTCATGAAGAGCATTTCTTACTTCATGAACAAGATTCGTCGCTCTGCGAATGTCATCAGGATGACAAGACCTTTTCGCTTGCTTGATTGCAGCCCTTTCATCAGAAATTTTCTTACGAATGTCTGCTGGCAGAAAATGCCTGCCGTGTCGCTGCACGGGAAGTACAGCTGCACGCTGCAGAGCTTGCTGAACAAAACTTGTCCACTCTGCTTGAGCTACATCTATACCGTTCTCATCATCTATGATCGGAATATTGGGGAACTCTCTGAGGAGCGACTTGTATAGCTCCCAATCAATGCGTTTCCTTGGAGGGGTTTCATCCCCCAAGCATCAAATATAACACCTAGATTCTTGGGATGATCAACAAATGGAATATTAGTGTCGTTGATAAAGAAGGAGACTCGATTGTGATGCTGTAATTTGATTGGTATCGCGGTACATTTTGATTGACAGTGCCTATTAGAATACGTTAATACGTTATCAAGATCTAGGTTAGTTTTACATGATGCTTCATGTAAGTTGGATTCATTAAAACGAAATGTTAATTGTGTATCGTCAGCATACATTTGAATGCAAGAATGTTCTACACACTCATGTAGATCAAACGTGTATACTAGGAATAAATAAAAGAGGTCCCAGTACTGAACCCTGAGGAACTCCCGACGAAACATACTGTGCATCAGAAGTTGATCTAGATGTATTCACTTTTTGGGTGCGATCAATTAGGTACGACCTAAAGAAGTTCAAAGGAGCATCTGAAATGACATAACAATTTAGTTTATTCAAAAGAATCTCATGATTGACCGTAAAAGTCAAACATACCGATTTATCGTCAAAATAGTAGTCGTACTATGAGTTTCGCGATTTTGGTGTACTGAAAACAAACTACTATTGGCAAAATACCCAACGATCTGCTGATATAATATTATCTTCTACAAGACATTCGATAAGAAACATAAGCCATTAATATGAACATGTTCAGATGGATTATTATTTTTGGCCAAAGGTGTGACTATTACCTCCTTCCAGTTGAATGGGAAAACTATCCTCATACACTACCGACAATTTCAATGAAAGGTTTACTGACTTCGGCGTAGTTGATGTTCTTTATACCGACCTTACCTCAAATATTCAAAAGTTTTTCCTAAAAGGAGTAGTCTGATACAAATTTTTCCAGAGAGGCGTATCATTTATAAATTAAATTTAAAATTATAATAGATATTTCAAAACAGTCGGTGGCGTAGAACATAATTTTCATTTACGTCCTAAGCCTCTGGCGAGGAAGTATTTCAATCGCGAAAAATTGAATCATCCTTTATAATGGGATAGAATGATAGGAGAGATAAAATATCTGTTATCCATACCAAAAATAAAATGTTTTCGTATCCCCCATGGTTCACACGTGAAATTATACTTAATATCAAGAAGAAGGACATAGCAAGAAGGAACTGGAAACGTGACGGTACTAAAATTTCTTATGATCAGTTCAGCAATTTTAGGAAGCTCATTAAGAACCAGATCAGTGTTGCCTACTCCGCTTACGTCCAATCGGTTGAGGATGCCATTCTCAATGATCCTGGCAAATTCTGGTCATTTGCCCAGATCAAAAAACAGCAATCTAGAATCCTCCCAAGGATGACGCTTAACGGCAATGTCTGCGATACGCCTCAGGATATAGTGGACAGTTTTGCTACCTTCTTTTCAACAGTTTTTATCCCGTCTGGTCTAGTAGGGTCATCTCCTCCAACAAATAATTCTACCGATATCATTTCTTCAAAAAATATAAGTGAAGAAAACGTAATTAGGGCTTCGAAAAGATTAAAGAACAAAATGACGTCTGGATGTGATGGTATTCCAAGTTTTTTCGTTAAAGATTGCATTCATATACTAGCGAAACCGCTGGCTTCCAAATTCAACCTAATTCTAAAATCAGAGACATATTCAAATATCTGGAAGACCTCTAAAATATGTCGCAAAAGTGGAGATATCTCTGATATTTCCAACAATCGCCAAATAGCAATCCTGTGCAATTTCAGCAAGTTGTTTGAGATCATCGCTTATGAAACGGTTTACTGCTCGGTCAGGGGTGCAGTCTCTATCAATCAGCATGGGTTTATGAGAGGCAGATCTACGGTCACCAACTTGGCTCTGATTACTCAGTACATTTCTGAAGTACTGGACGGTCAGGGACAAGTTGATGTCTTCTACACAGATATTCAGAAGGCGTTTGATCAAGTTGATCATTATGCACTTCTGGATAAGCTTAAAACAGTGGGTATGTCTGACGCAATGCTGTCGCATATTTGAGGGATAGAAGGTTATTTGTCGAATATATTGGTCATAGGTCGAGTTACTATCGGGCCACGTCCGGGGTACCTCAAGGGTCAAATCTAGGTCCATTATTGTTTTTGATATTTATTAATGACTTGTCTTTTGAACTGAAGTGTTTCCATTTGTTTTTCGCTGATGACCTTAAAATCTGCACGTCAGTCAAGACAGTCGAGGATTGCGTCATGTTGCAAGATGACTTAGCTCTAATTTCGTCATGGTGTTCACGAAACTATCTCAGTCTGAATGTTTCGAAATGTAAAGTTATGACTTATACAAGAAAGGTTAACTATTTAATTTATGATAACATTAATGGTCAGGTTATAGACAGATGCACCACATAGAGACCTTGGAGTCATTTTTGATACCAAGCTAACGTTTACTGAGCATATACTCAATATCTCGTCGGCTGCCACTCAACTACTCGGTTTCTGCATCAGAAACTGAAAGGGTTTCTCCAATGTTGATACATTAATGACTTTATTTTTTACTTTTGTCAGGAGCAAGTTGGAGTATGCGACTCTGATCTGGTCTCCTATATACCAAAATTCTGTCGTGATCCTTGAGGCCATTCAACGTAAAGTTTTAAAGTATTTTCACCTTAAATGCACAGGTTCTTATCCAGAAAGAGGTTGTGACCATAGTGCCCTATTAGAGTTTTTCAATTTGGATTCACTGTCAACAAGACGAAACATATTTGCTTTGTCGTTTTTGTATGGCCTCATTCACAACAAAATTGACTGTCAAAATTTACTTGAAAAAATATGTTTCCGCGTTCCAAGGCTAGGGAGTCGACAACAAACGGCATTCTATTGTCAAGCTGGCCGTACAATGTTTTGACAAAATCGCCAATTAATCTCATGTGCTGCGTCATGAACATTGTGACTGAATCGTGTGATATTTACAGTGACAGTTGGGCATCGATTATTAACTGCTATAGATCATCCAATCTTATTCAGAATGTGTGATGCTATAGATTTAAGTCCAACCATGTCTCTTTAATTGTTATTGTTTTAAGCATTTCCTGTAATTGGGTTTCACCTGTTGGAAATAAATAAATAAATAAATAAATACTCGGATTCTTCTTTCCTTATTATTCACGTCAAAGTTATAATGATCTGTATACTCACATAACAACAAGATTTGAGTTGATGGAATTCTCAAGCAACAGCTCCCTCAGCCTCAGCTGTCTGTATGTCTTGTCTTGCAATGCATGAATTTCTTTTTCAGTAACATAGCAATCTGAAATTGTAAAAATATTTTCTCAACAACAGGCACTCTTAGGCCCGTATCGTCAGTCGTCCCTACAATTTATTGTAGGGTGCGTTTATGGCCTCCTTGATTGTCATACTCTTTTCTCTCCTTCAAAAATTTCTAGATTACACTCGTCCCGTGTCAGCGTCAGCGCTCTCCTATTGTGAAGATATGTTTTCTTTTTAAATTGTAGGAAATTTCAGGCTGATAAAATATGATATAACTCAAAAGCAAGCACAATTTGATGTAAATAGATGTTTGTGACATAACCTCAAAATAGAGCTCTGACACGGAGAAGTAGAAAAATATGACAATCAAGGAGGCCATAAACGTACCCTACAATTAATTGTAGGGACGACTGACGATACGGGCCTTAATTAACAGAAATCAAGCTATATTTAAATTTTGAAAACTATTTTGGCATTAATTAAAAATAATTATTTATTAATAAAATTAATATGATTACTCAAGAGTTGGAAGAAAATTGTCAATATTTGGAGATATTTGAAACGACTTACCATTCTCAGTATGTTCTATTCTATCGCTAGGTTGTCTGAATCTGGCCAGCAGATCATCAAAGAAAGCTATCGTCGAGTCTTGCGGTCTATCTGATATGGACACCATCTTCAGGCTGGAGTACTCTAATCGGAATTTCTCTAACAAATGTGCCATACTGAAAAAATGAGATCATATTTAGGGATATACAAACTCTAAAGGTGCTGTTATATTGGCGAAGATCTGTCACAATCACTGAGAAATAATCAAACTCATATAAAGCATGCTGCGCAATACAAGCATGTGAGGTGTACCTCCTATTGTTTTTTCAAACATTCTTATAATTGTATTTGAGCATTTGACGCATTAACAGTTGGGATGTTTAACCCTTAACCACAGACATCCGGTCAAAATGACCGGCTGCAAATTTCAACTGCTGAAATTTATCGCATCCCCACCACTATCGCTTATGAGCTTCTACATACCTTCCTAACACTTAGTTTGATGCTATTAGCCGGTGGATGGAGACTGTATTACTTGAAGCAAGCGAAATATCGTAGTTCTAAGTTCGCAACCGGTAAAAAATACCCGAGGTCTGTATAAACGTAATAATTTGGATATGTTGAATTATTATTTTTCTGATGTTTTTAGCCTTATAAATTGAGTATGGACTCTAATCATGGGCCCTCAAAGAGAGTAAAATATGGAGATGCTGATTTTGAAGCTACTTTACTGAAATGGGCAGAGTAAGTCGATTCTGGTGGAAGCGATATCGAATCAGATGGCGACTATATACTATCGGATCATGACACTGAGTCGGAGGTTGAATTCGACGAAGAGGACAACGAAAATCTAGGTGAAATCAGTCATACCGAGATAATCCAGAAATAAACCGCTATCATTTTGGAAAACAGTTAGCAATGCTTTTGGTCACTCCACATATGCAACGCCGATATCAAAATGTGCGTATTGGTCGTGAAATGAAAATATCGATAAGACGCATACTACAATTGGAACAAGAAGAACATCCTATGGAAGGTGATAAACTGAATACAAGAACAACTTGTAAACGTTGTCCCTCGAAGAAGGAGAGAAAAACATTCCATGTTTGTATAATGTGTAAATCTCCAATATGCATGGAATGTACTAGGAGAATTTGCAAAGAATGTTCCATCTAAATATGCTAATAGTTTACCCTTTGCAGATATTTTTATATAGAATGTTTTAGCTTTGCTTTGATGTTATTTTATTCAGAATAGTTTATTTAAATTATTTATGTGCGAAAAAGTGTTGTATACGTTTTTATTTTATTTTTATTTATGACTCTGTTACACTTGAACAAAAATATAGCAATAAAATATTTTTTCCATGCTCTACTCTTATTTCATTCAAAAATAGTTAAAACTTCATCAAATGCTAATTAGAAAGATCTAAGAGTTAATCGGCATGCTGCAAGAAAAAAATTAAGATTTTGTTGTTCATGTATACTCAAAAAAAGACAATCGGTCAAAATAACCGGTAGTTTGTGGTTAAGTCCTACAAACGTGACCTCTGTAGCTAAGGGTTAAACAAAAAATGGATTTCCGAGCTCAACTTTTTTCATAGACCCACGAAAGGGATCACTTCCTGAAGTTTATACTTTATTTTCGCCCTAAATATGCAGGGTGCGGCAGTGAGGATGGACGGTTTTAAAAAAATCATAAAATAGTTAATTTTTACTCGAAAACAAATTTATTGATGGAATCAGGATCACAAAGAAATAGCATTTGATACAGTCAGGTGTGGAAAATCACATCAGGCATGTGGTGGCCGAAATCGTTGATGCAGTGCTGGAGGCGTTCTTGGAAGTTCGCGTAGACTCTCTCCAACATCGCTCTCTCAACTTGGGCGACTTCCACGCGAATTTCGCCCTTCAATTCGTCCAGAGTTCGGGGCTTGTTCGCGTATACTCTAGCCTTGAGGTGTCCCCATAAGAAAAAATCGCATATGGATAAATCTGGGAACCGAGGAGGCCAATGAACATCGCCAAACCTGCAAATAAGACAACCAGGGAACAGATGGCGAATAGCGTCCATCGATGCTCGGGCTGTGTGGGCGGTCGCCCCATCCTGCTGGAACCACACACGTCGGATTGGAACACGTCGCCGTCGTAATTCAGGGAGAAAGAAGTTGGTGATCATGTCGACGAAGCGCTCTGAGTTCACGGTAACATCACGACTATTACCGTCTTCGAAGAAGTAAGGGCCAATGATGCAAGTTCGCGATACAGCGCAACAAACCGTTACTTTTGGAATGTGCAGCGGTCTTTCGTGTAACTGTTGCGGATTTTCATTAGCCCAATAACGACAATTCTGCTGGTTAACCATGCTGTTTAGGTGAAAGTGAGCTTCGTCACTCATAAACAAAATGAGGTTCTCATTTTGATCCACCGTCCAAGGCTCCATAACGACAACTGGTAAAATAATGCTAGGATCTCACGAGTCAAACGGCACCCTCCCCACCTCTCTCGTAGACGGAGGCGGAGAGTACTACCCATCCAAAAAACGTCCGTCCTCTCTGCCGTACCCTGTATGAAAATGTAAAAATTGGCTCTTGAAGCATAGATGAACCAATTCTATGAACATTTTCATATTTGTTTGTATTTTGCTTCAATACGTAATTATTGAATGGCGATCGTAAATCATACACCTTAATTAGAAAGTAATGCTCAATTCTCAACGGTCTTATATTTAGCAATAATTACATACAATGAAAAATACATTTTGAAAAACAAGTTTTCATTTGACTGTTCATAAAATGATCTAAAGATTAAAAAATAATTCTTCCGAGTGGAAATATTCAAGCGATATTAAAGCTCCTTTATCTCAAGTTTTCAAGGAAAACGTGTTACATCCTCTTCCATCCTGCTTTTATTTGAAAATTTGAGAAAGAGGAGCTTCATTATTGTTTAAATATTTCCAATCAAAAAATTATTTTTTAACTTTTTATTTTATGAACAGCTAATTTTTGAAAATGTGTTTTTCATTTTATTTAATTCTTACTCTCAGTATTTATGATGTCAAATAACTAGTTTGGCTGCTTATATATAACCTTCATATACATATTTTTATTAATAGAATTTCGGTAGATTATCTTACTTAATGATTAACTGAACAAAAAAAATAAACATAGAGCTCCCGTAGAAGGCAGTTAGATGCCTCAGCCCTGGTATTTAATTTAGAATGACGTTATCTGCTTATGGTGTTCTTCTCATTAAGCTTTGTCATTTGATACCTATATTATAGCGGATACGATGGAAATTAAACATAGTCATTCAGCGATAGGTTGGATCTAGAATGACATCACTTTGTTTATTATGTTTCCCTCATCAAACCCTTTCATTTGATACCCATAGTAAGAGGATGACTATGGAAATTATAAACGCCATCTTGAGGGAGATGTCATATTGAATTTAGAATGACGTCACTTTGCTTATTGCATTTCTCTCATGTCATAGAGGACACTGACAACCGTAAATTGTCATTTTGGAGTTAGATTGACGTCAATTTGCTTATCGTACTTCTCTCGTCACTGGTACCAATATCACAGGTGTTACTATGAAAATCATATCGGATTCAAAATGGCGGAGGTTAATCCATTTTGTATTGTCACGCGAACCAAAGGTGTGTACAATATTTGTCCCACACAAACCTCTACACACTAACATAGGTACAAACAGCAAAAAACATTAAAAGTTAGTAAAAAGAGTTCTGTTTGTGCAAAATATTCTCATACTATTGCAAAATGTTTAACCATAGCTTCTGGAGTCTGTTTAGATGCATCATTAAATAAGTCAATGAAAGCTACTACTCGGTGATAAGCGCATATAAAATGTTGCAATTTACTCACTTCTTTTCCTCATTCTCTATTTCATTCTTATTGGTGACCAGCGCAAACACTCTTAGCTTGCAGCTGTGCCAGCTGTTCCTGGTGGATATGATATAGGGTAGCAACATGGTCAGCCCTCCGTCATCGTACAGCCACCACACGTCAATGTATCCCTTGGGCTGCTTGCGGCTGAAGATGTCAAACCGTTCTAGGTACGACTTCTCCCGAACGGAGAGGATGATTTCGTTGTTGTGCATGGACTGTTTGGAGTTGGGGCGATTGTTCAGAGTAGGTGTCACTAGGGAAGGTTATTTGAGGTTCAATATAGAATTTGTGCAAATAAACAGTTACGGACTAGTTCAGAACTAATTCAGAATTATCTTTCTGCGCAAGCCCGAGTTACGTACAGTTCAGAACCAGTTCAGAACCAGTTCTGAACAATTCTGGTAAACAACACATTAATTGAAGCAAAATTCAAAATTATCACGTCTCTGAGAGAATTTATTATTTTTTGACATACTGTAATTTGGGAAAGCAAAATAGCGGACAAAATCTAGCTTCCCAGCTATGAAAAGTTCATGGACAAAAATCGTACGTTTATTTCTTTCCCAGAATCAGAACTGTCAGTTTCATTTTCTGTAATTTAGATCCGCGCATGCTTTGTTCGGTTCAGAACTAGCTCGTTGGTTTGTTGGAACAAAGCTATAGTCAGATTTTATTTTGCCAAGATAGCGGAATGGTTTCGATCTTTGAAGTACAAGTGCACCAACAATTTGTTCGTATATCCTGGACTGATCAAGTCACCAACGAGACGTTATTGTAACAAACATGAATCGCTGAGCAGCAAGAAAGGAGGACGGAGTAATGAGCTAAAATACTTTGATAGTGTGATTTGGACAAGGATCATGGTCCACAAGCTAGTTTTTCTTCTCTAAAAATTCCTCAAATTTCTAGTTGATTCTTGCAGTTTAACATTCCAGGGTATAAGTACTTTAAATTTTCTTTAACATTTCTCTTTGTATTTCAGTATTTTGTTTTCCTTCCAAAATTCAAAGATTGCAATTTTGGCGACTTTTCTTTCAAAATTCTTCCATTTCTGGATACAATTTGATCACATGGTAGCAATACTTCCTAAATCAAATCTATAATGAAACACACTGAGACACAAAATACAATGAGAGTGTTGCCCCACCGCACTCGCAAAATAAAAGCAAAAGTTGAAACAAGTGAATGTACGATTATAATGCAAAGACTTCATCTTTTCTAGTTATTGTGAGAGCGGTAGTTCAACATTAACAATCTTCTACATGTTTTGTGTCGTAGCATGTTTCATTATAAACCGGAAGTAGGAAGTATTGTGACCATGCGCTTATATAAAAGTATTAGGTTAAATAATAATAATAACATTGAGTGAATTTTGGGTAAAAACGCTCAACTTGAGATCTTTGCGCTTTTAAATAACACCCAAAAAGTACTAAAATAAAACGAAAAATGTTGATAAAAAATTTGAAATACGTATGTTCTGAAATATTGAAACGCAAAAATCTCAACTTCAAATTTGAGTTATTTTCAGGGCTGAAAAACATTTTTTTGTACTCTCAATCTTTCTTTCCTGGGTTAGTCGTCGCCTCAAATTACCTGAAAGAACCTACCACGTTTTGTTGGCGTGTAGCAACTGATAACAGAAATAGACACTTTGTACTTAATATCTTAATATCTTATTCCAAAATCTAACTCGCAGCACTTCAGAATTTTTTGATCATTATGCTTACAAGTTTCGGTTGAAAGCATGGAGAACGAAAACAGAAGTTTCGTAGGCAATTCGGAGACTCATTATAAAACGTTTTATGAGAATATTTTCGTAAAGCCTTTGAATCTGTGGTTCGGAAAAAAAATGTCCAAGAGTCACAGAATCTAAGTCCTATGACCAACCACATTGATGAAGACATATTTTTCAGAATTAACTCCAAATGCAATTGCGTATAACGCGAAGGAAAAAAATAGTTTAGCATTTCAACAGTTTATTGAGGGCATGCTTTTTTAATAGAAGTAAGAGAAAAACTTGGCATAGATAAATAAGCTTAACGATCATAGTTGATCATGTGAAAGTCTGCTTCCAAATTATACGTGCAATTATACAGGGTGGCGCATCAAAAAAGAAACAGACGCATTTACTGGCAGCTCAGTTTTTTTTTTGAAAAACGCTCAGATCCGTCGATTTCGAGGGGGACACAAGTTTGGCAAAAATCACGTTAGCACGTGCAGCCCCCTCAGCGGGGGTGACACCACCCCCAAAATCTTAAATAGAAAGGGGGGTCGAGTAATACCTTATTTTAAAGGTCTTTCAATTCCCTTTATAATGATATAAAATTAATGTACTTCACCTCAGTAGTTTTGAAGATTTATTGATTTAAGGCTTAAATAAAACTAATACATCATCATTAGTGGAGATCAATACATTTGGCAGCAAAGTAATTTGAAAATGAAGAATGAACTGACCCGTTAGGCAAATAAATGTTGAAAATGGCCACCATGACTCTCCATGCAATAATAAAGATTTTGCTCAAAACGTTGCCGCACATTTTGCAATATTTGAGGAGTAATTTGAAGGCAGTCATTCACAATTCTTTGTCGCAGGTCTTCTAATGATGTTGGCTGAGTAGCATAGATTTTGCTTTTTAAATGACCCCACATAAAGAAATCCAAAGGTGATAAATCTGGCGATCTTGGGGGCCATTCAATGGCACCTCTTCAACCAATCCACCGATCTGGCAACGTCTGATCTAAATATTGTCGAACACGTAATGCGTAATGTGGTGGGGCATCATCCTATTGGAACATCAACCTATTCGCAATTTACCACCTATCATTCTGATCTTCAATTATGGCTGTTCATGCAGGATCTATGGCGTCTTCCAGTAATTCTAAATACATTTCACCGGTCAAATTTCCAGGTATGAAAAAAGGACCAACTAAATGATCGCCAAAAACATTTAATTTTTGTGGCTGCTGTGTATGAACCTCATGATAAATTCTGGGATTAGAATCGGACCAATATCGGCAGTTATAAAGATTGACTACGCCATTTAAGAATAAGGAACATTCGTTGGAAAAGTAAGTCTTGAACAGAAAGTGTTCATCGTTTATAATTCGTTCACTCATATCTTCACAAAATTGTAATCGGCGATCAAAATCGTCTTCATTAAGTTCTTGTACCAGGTGAATTTTATACGGATGAAAACTATGGGCCTTTAGAATCCTTTGGACAGTACGTCGACTAACACCAAACACAGTCTCCAATTTGCAGGTTCTTAACGTAGGATCTACATAAAGTTGCGCTAAAACCCCCACTTCTGTTGCTTCGTTCCTTATGGGATTTTCAATGTTGCGTTTTTTATTAGCGACTGACCCACTTTCCCGAAATTTAGCTACAAGTTCTAGAACATTATTTTCGATGCACGTTACTGCTTTCATGTCGCTCATTAAATATTTCAGCTGTTCTATTAGCGCATTGATTATTTCCGAAAAATATTTCGGTAATTTCAACTCTGTCTGCTGTGGAATATACCATGGTTAATTAATGTATATAATAAAGCGTTACAAGTTATTTTAGCAACAAAGTTTGGTCAAATCAATCGCAAACTATGTACTAAATTCCTATTTAAAATAAGTACGAGATATTTCCTTATCTTTCATCAAGAAATAACTTTTTTGCCACAAAAAAAAACGCTCCAATAGCTATTTTCAACAACAAAATGATAAATAAACCATGGGCGTAGTGATGAAAAGCATTTACTTATTAAGTAAATTCTTTTAGTCAAATTTCTTCTGAAAGTAGTACAAACTAATCTGATGTACCTATTAAAATCTACTTTAAGCTTTAAATCAATAAATCTTCAAAACTACTGAACTGAAGCTCATGTATTTTACATCATTATAAAGGGAATTGAAAGACCTTTAAAATAAGGTATTACTCGACCCCCCCTTTCCATTTAAGATTTTAGGGTTGGTGTCACCCCCGTCCAGGGGGCTGCACGTGTCAACGTGATTTTTGCCAAACTTGTGTCCCCCTCGGAAACAAAATCGACGGGTCTGAGTGTTTTTCCAAAAAAAAAACTGAGCTGGCAGTAAATGCGTCTGTTTCGTTTTCGATGCGCCACCCTGTATAAACGGACTACGAGCTTTACTCTTTTTTATTGGTAATCTGAAACGAATTCTAAAAATATAGTTTTGGCATCTTTTCATAGAATTTCATGTCACTGAACTTATACAATATTGAAAACCTTGACAGAAATTGTATTTACTTAGTGTACGATTATATCAATTAGTTGCAACAAATAATCAAAATAGACGAAATGGAATCTCAAAATAATTTTTTTTTATGTATCCTGGAAATGAATAGTGATAATTATATGGCATCATCTAACTCGCACGTTTTCTTGGAGCATTTTGATGGAATATTCCATTGTAAAGCAATTAGGAGCTTTTAAACCACTGAACATATATTTGTCTATATACAGAGTCAGCGAAAAGGTACCATCTACGGAAATATTACGTATAAGACACTACTTTCATGCATCGCTTAAAACAACAGTACACATATTAGTGTTACCATAAGACCTAAGGTCTAATCGCACGGGCGACATATAAACGAAATTAGATATATGTATAGGAATCGAGCAAAAATTGACAAGCCTTGTAGAAAACTTTTGATAGTCAATTTGTCCAAAATAAGCATTTTGTTTAAAGCTATTGGATTTTTTGAGGAGTTGGCATCAGACGCAACTCAAGTCCAAAGATGTATGAAACCAAAATGAGATACTCCAGTTTCCAGTCTCTCTGCAAAAAACTAGTAACGGACTATAGACCTGTATTAATTTTCAGTGAAAGTTTTATATCTACTGGATGACAGAAATATATGTTTGAGATGAGCTGGAAAAAATAGTTTCTAAATTTAACTCCCATCTGACTTTAATTTTACAGCATCTTGGCAACGTTCGGGTTTTTTGGTTGGAGTAGCAATTTCCATTGCGGTGTAAGTTTAATGCTGCGTTAAGGCATTTACATCAGAAAAGACAAGATATCAGTATCAAGATGCTTACAATTAGCAGTGCTCCTGACTACACCGGCAGGCAAGGTAGTATCGTTGGTTCCTACGCGGTCAAGACTGAAGTTAGAATCTGCATGCATCAAGCTGTTAGAAGTCGTGAGAGTCGGATGCGGGATAGGCATCGACACCACGTTACCTGGCTCCTCTTCGATGTAGTTCTTGCTGTGGTCCAGGCCACCAGGTACCCGCAGGATGGTTACCGACATTCGGTTGTCGAAAGCGGCACTTGAAATAACGGTGATTGATTAGCACTTCTGTTTATATTTGAAGTTTTGTGGAATTGTGAGATTCTATTACAAAGTTGTCCTTTTGGCGACAAGAAGCTTTTAGATGTACGAAAATTTATTTTCCTTGTATTATACCCTCGCCCTTGGGATATCGGAAAAATAGATACGAGGTTGCTTTAATATTCTTAGAGTTTTGAAACCCAAACTTCTTCCGGAGTGAGACGGAAAAACCAGAATTTTCCGAAAATTAATTTAGTTTTTTCCTCATTTTATATGTATTGGTATTTCAAAATAAATTGCACACTATCATTGCCAGTTTTTCTCTTTTACAATATGACAATTATAAGTTTCAGATGACGTTTTGTGCATTAACTTTATTTTTTCTTATATTGGATTTTTGTACAAGAGAGTAGTGTTTAATTCCGACACCAAAGATGTATAATATGTCACATTGACATTGAAATTTCAAATACATAGACTTTCCTAGGTAGATACTGAAATTATCAGATAGTCATTTATTTCGTATACCCGTAAATTACATGTTGTCATTGATACTCGTTCTCATCAAGATGGCATAGACAAATTTTCAATTCGAGGTTTTTTCTTCCGATTTCCATCGCCAACTTTGTTTTTTCATATGGACGCTATATTGGAATTTTGTACATTTAAATGGTATTTTCAGTCCTATATTCAGTAATATACTAAGTGACATATAAATCCGAACACCCAGTTTAAATGGTTTTATTTCAATAAAAGTTGGTGAATGGTGAAAAAATTTTCAGCCTTATCAGTTGGACATTCCGGTTTTTATACTGCTTTTTTTTAATTCACTAACGCTCTAAAAATGAATATTTCAGCTGCAGTAAAGAATCAACGTTGGCGGATTTTGGTTCTTGACATCCTTTACGATCGGTTACGATGCCTAGAGTACGGAGACCTGTACGATTTCGTCAACTTAGTGAGTTTGATAGGGTCCGTATAGTGGGACTTCGGGAAGCTGGACTTTCTTTTCGGGCAATTGCAGTTAGAGTGCAAAGAAATGTAGACACTGTGGTTAGGTGTTGTCAGGCATGGCTTCGAGAAGGCTGTACGCAAAGAGCAAGGGGCACTGGACGCCGCCGTAGAACAACAGACCGTGAAGATCGCCGCCTAAGATTATTGGCCTTAAGGGACCGTTTCTCCACTACCAGGTCCATTGCAAATGAATGTTTTGCAGAACACGGAAGACCTATTGGCATGCGAAGTGTTTACCGACGAATGAGAAGTTTTGGCTTGTTTTCATACCGGCCTTGGTTGCCAAAGTGGTGCAGACAACGGTCACTCTGGGATCAGGAATGGAACAGTATTGTCTTTAGTGACGAGTCTCGATTTTGTTTAGGCATGCACGATGGTCGTGCCAGGGTTAGAAGGCGACGTGGTGAAAGGAGGAATCCACAGTTTTTTGTTGAAAGACATGTTCATCACACTGTTGGAGCTATGGTTTGGGGTGCTATAGCTTATGGTTCCAGGTCACCTTTAATCTTCATCAGAGGTAACATGAACGCGCAGCGTTATATCCACGAAGTTCTAGAACCCCATCGTTTACCCTATCTTGACACCCTGGCAGATCCAACTTTCCAACAAGATAATGCCCGACCACATGTTGCAAGAGTCACAATAGACTTCTTTCAACATAATGATGTCACATTGTTACCATGGCCACCAAGATCTCCCGACTTATCCCTAATTGAGCATGTGTGGGATATGATGGGTAGGAGATTGCTCAATTTGCAACGTCCTCCTCAGACTCTAGAAGCACTTCGAGAGGAGTTGGTGGTTGCCTGGAATGAGATACCACAGGAGGACATTGACCACCTGATCAGAAGCATGCCTAGGTGCGTTGGAGAATGCGTAGCACATCAGGGTGCATCCACACATTATTAAAGGTCAAAGGGCTTTAAAGCAGTGCAATCATTTTGAAATTTTTATCATTTACTTATTATGCTTCATTAAGTACTTATACAAAATTTTATTAAAATAAAGCCATTTAAACTGGGTGTTCGGATTTATATGTCACTTAGTATATATTACCTTAGTTGGTCATCAATTTATTTTGGGAACAAAAATTATATGGAAATAAAAAGATATGGTGAAGCTTGAACACGAAATGAAAATTTTATTGATGGTAACAACAATAACAATCATTAACGAGCATTGGTAAATCGTAGTAGATGTTCAAAACCTTGTCGGCTATTTTGTAGGCAAATTCTGACTCTTCTTTGTACATTGTTCATTGCTCAGTTTATTTCCCTTTTTCTCAGTCTCCAAACTCTGTTGCTATGTTCAATTTCAGTCTGGTTCGGCATATGAAACAAATTATCTGATAATTTCAAGGAACTAGGAAATTCTGTTTTTCTGAACTAACTGAGGTTTGGCAATGTCAATGTATGACATCGTATGCATTATTGAAATCAGAATTATAGTGTAAAAATCTAATAGGGCGTCTATAAGAAAAAATACAGTTGAGCTGGAGGACAAGAGGCGAAGCGCCATATTGAAAATCTAATCATGTCAGGAGAAAAGGAGAAACAGTTGCAATGTTGATGTACAATTTGGTTTGAAGTCCGACTACAAATAAAGTCAGGAAAAAATTAAAAATATTTTAAGAAAATGTCTTTCCTTTTTTCGTCTCTCTCCAGGACTACATTGAATTTAGAAAGCTTCTAAGTGGTATTTTGTTAGCTATCTAAATATGCAACTTTGACTCCAATAAAATTATTTAACAATAATAATAATGCCAACACACAGGAACCAACACCTAGTGACAGAGCCTCGTTAAAAAGGTGTAAAATGTGTTTGTTGAAGTCATGTTTCTTTCCATCCTTTTTTCTCAAAAAACAAATGAGTCATGAAGGAAGTACGAATATTTGTTGCCTGAATGTAGTGGCACCTCCGAGGACAAGATCAAATATAGTCCACGGATTCAGCACTGTAGTAAAAGACCCAGTTAGTCTTACAGAAACGACTCAGCATTAGATTCCCAAACACAGTGGAGTGCTATGTAACCAGAGGATCGACCAACTGGCCAGACTGATAGCTGGACATATAGTGAACTAGGGAAGTTATGAAGAAAGAAACGAGTACAAGCAAGTCAAATGTCCCAATAAACTATGGAAATAGGCTAGTTGACACTTTTTTTAAATAGGTCTTGAACAGTTAATATTTGTTCTATTACACCAAAAGAATTAATGCTGTATTTTTTCAGACCTAAAAGACCGTAAAACCTCAAAATTATATTTTTCGATAGTATTTAAAAACCCTGTACGCAAGTTTGGCCCATAATTAATTTGCTCTGACGCCATAGCATTTGTAAACAGCAGCTGACAGCAGTATAGCCTCTCAAACTTTTAAACGTACAGGTATAAACACGACTTCTACTAATTTACATGAAAAATATTTAATCAAGCCGAATGACACAGCAACCCTCTGTTGCGTTATTCAGAAGACTACACAGTCGAGCAAGTTCGCAAATATTCCAGGCCGCGCCTCGCACTGCGATCAAAATTAAATTGTGAATCCAGACCAGCCAAAATTATTTCAGTATGCAAAACGGATCAAAATTATTTTTGGAGTTACAAAATTATTCGAGTATTCAAAGCAATAATCTTTAAGCTATTTCAAATGATTTACTTCTTTTTTTGCTCTATTTCTTCCTTCCTTTCTTTCCTTCTTTCCCTTTTCCCCTTAAACATGTTTGGTATCTGGGTAGCCAGACCTGACAGACTAACAGACCGACGAGACTTTTAACTAAGAGTAAAGGTCCACCGGACGGCTCTGACCAACAATGACGAGTAGTAGTATGAAAAATATTGTAATCAGACAACGACGTTAGTCCAGGAGTGACATACGGATGACGTTTCTTTGTTTAGAGTTTTCGTAAATGTCACATCATGGCCGATAATGTTTTCACCGTTTTGTATTAAAAATAAAAAGTATATCTTTTAAATTTGACTTGTATATCGATATTGCGCTTTCAAAAATTGAAATCTATATATTTCATTTTCCTAAGCCAAATACTGTAAGGAATACTCATTTATTCTATGAAGTTAGATATGATTCAAGTAGCCTATTCTGGAATGAAAAGAGTCGCTCAAATTTTTGGTATCTCGTCACAGGCCACTACAGGCTGAATTAAATATTTTCCACGACAATTGAATACGGCAAAACGTGACAAAAAATGTCAGCTGATCAATATCCTGCATATGATCAAGTGACCGTGGGGTATATTGACATTTTTGTAAGAAATAATTTTCATAAAATGATTAGGACTGTTTCGATATACAATCAAAATGAAATTATCAATCTGGGTGTTAAGATCTGATACAATTCAATTTTACCAGCCTTGCGGCTTTAACATGTCTGTTATGATTATGACTACAAAAGTTGCCAGGACTCGCCTCCCTACCACTACTACTTGCACAGTGGCGCGTGTACTGGGCGGATAGGTGTTGTTAAATAGCATCCTACTTACTGTAATACATTGAAGTACATCAGCAGTTCATTTTTGTTGCACGTCATCCAATCATCTTTGTAACCCATCATAAGCACATTGGGACTCAATTTTCCAATACCAACTGTCTGCAGAAGCGCTTTGGAACCGGATTCAAAAGATGCGTTGTCCACCAATGAGTAAAATGCTTTCATTTTGTTCGCTTTTAAGTACTTGTACGCTTTGCTTATCATTGCTACCCTTACTTTGTAATCCAGTGGTCTCTGTAAAAGAAATACCGATTTTACAAGATTGCTTATAAGTAAAATTAAAAGGTTATCATTATACTCACTGTTTTCATCAAAATCAAGATACAAATAATGACATGAAAATCGATATAAAGTCTCTTTATAGTCAAGTAAGACGGGTGCCGATCTGTGTGTGAATCTTGCAATTTTGGTAACCGTGCTCGAAGCTTCGATTTCGTATGCAACAAAGCAATTTTATACGGAGTGTGTGAACATTGTCAAACTTACATTTACTACGTCCCCAATGATGAGAAGGGAATGTCGCTTCGTGATCAAATTAGCAAAGTCTACCAAAGCAGGTCGAACGTAAGGACCACTGCAGAGCAAAAGAATCTGCGGTTTGTAATTCTTCACATGCTCATCAACGTTGTTCAATCTTTGGGCAGTTGTAAGAGCAGTTTTGTAGGTCTGTGCTTGAGTAGAAGAGCCCCAGTTGACATCTACAACAGAATAATGATTATAGTTAGAATTTCTTGGACGATATTGGTGTCCGTATCCTATCTAAAACTGATGCCACTAGTATAGTCAAGTGCCAAAAAGGAGGGCACCGAAACGGAAGAGGGTTGACAGTGGTGTACGATGTATCATGCTACTCTCTTCCATTTCGGTACCAGACCATAGCATACCAAATTATACGACACTGCTAATGCTGTGCATCTTTGTATTTGCTACTGGCAATTATGATAATGGTGGCATTATCGCTAATGACCGAACATTGAGATGAATAGCCTTTGTGGGCAATGTTGATGAAATCATAAAACAAACTGACTGTTGGCATTGCCCGGAAATGGCGTTAATGTCCATCAGACACCGGACAATGATGGAATAGTCGTTAGTTAGTATTTCTTGCGTTAGTTACTCACAGACGCACGGTAGTTGAGTTAATTTCAATTCAATTTTACTATTTAAACCGGCATTGAATTCTGATTTATAGGAAGCCATCAATGTCATTTTGGTAACTAAACGCGATGACCACAAGTCGTTTTTAATCATTGAGGAATGTAACACAACCATACTGATTATGGAAGCAAGAACTTTGACGTTAACATCAGGTTCCAGGTTTTAATAATGTTTGTTCTGCCCTGGATGTTCTTTTTAAGGTTTTTTGTCGTTCATATTTTTTATCGGCTTATCATTATATCGGCATTACCCAGGCCTTCTTGGCCAAATATATCCACGACGAGATCAGACGTCAAAATAAAAATATTAACATTGCCCGCCCGCATTGTCAATGTTTAATTATCTCCATTGCCCGTACTATAGATTCCACAGGTCTCATAGCATTAAAGTCACATCGGATTAACAGTGACGTACGATGATTAGCACTATTGCCTGCCAAAATGACAGTTGGCGTTACGAAACTGATAATATGAGATTATTGACTCACCTGGCTTTCGGTATACTACTAGCAAGTATAGGCCCCAAATGATGATGAATGTTACTAGAGATGACCACCAATTGATAAGGAACATTATGACAACACATATAATGCAGCCTAAGAGACTCAGCCACGTGTTGTAATACTGGAATGGAAAAATAAGTTACTTGTACAAAACAGAATGAGATCTGCAATAAGAATATGAGAAATTGAGTGATTGACAGCGTATCTGTCAGCTGAACTACGATATCCGGCTATAGAGTTACGTGCAGTTCTGTAACCCGGAGCCAGACTAGGTTAAGTCTAAATAAGTAGTTTTGATATAATTTTATTTGAACTATTTTTTTTGCATTGCCTTGTATGCAACTTGACATGAGTTAAAAAGTCGTAACTTCCTTATTATTACAGAAAGATGGACGCTGCATGTAGCAAATGAAATTTCATAATATGTATTAGCATAAGCTTATTTATTAAACTCATTTTTGACAAAAATGGACTTAGTCTGACTCTGGAATACGAAGTTGTACTTTTTGAACGACAAGGTCGATTCATTCCATCTAGTTGAGTCTAACAATAATAATATACACCTTTTTCGCGAATACATCAATATTGCCGATATTGGTAATCCAAACTTCATTCATTTAATTATAATTATTGTCATTTATCAATAAATATCCCTCGCTACGAGGGATGTCCTTTAAGTTTTGCATATAGAAACATAGTAGGCCGCGCGGATCGGTCGTCAGTACTGAATCTTAACCTCACTCTTTAGTAAACTTAAATTCAAAGTTTCACAACAATACGTGCAGTGTTCCCACTACAGTGAATTTTTAAATGTCAACAAGTCATTAGAAAAATGGAACTCAACCGAGAACATTTTCGCGCCATAATTTATTACAACTTTCAGAGACAATTATGGCAACAAGAATGCCTTGCTAAGTTACTGTCTGTTTTCGGCAACGAAGCGCCACATCAGACGACAATTTCCCGTTGGTATGGAGAATTGAAACGTGGACGGGTGAGTTTTAGCGACGATCCCAGGGTGGGTGCACCAAAAACGGCAGTCACCCAGGAAAACGTCGATGCTGTGCTCAAACTCATCATTGAAGATAGACATGTGATATATCGCGAGATTGAGGCGTCCTTGAAGATCTCAAAGACCTCAATTCAAAAAATTTTACATGAACCATTAGGAGTAAGAAAATTAGTTTCTCGTTGGATATCCCACCCGTTGACTGAAGAGCAGAAAGCAGCCAGGGTTAATTGGTGTCAAAAAACGCTTGACCGGTTCAATTCCGGAAACTCAAAAATGCATACAGCATTGTTAGTGGTTATGAATCGTGGATTTACTGTTATGAACCAGAATAAACGACAGTCGGCTGTTTGGGTGTTCCAAGGTGAAGAAAAGCCAACAAAAGTCATCCGTTCTCGAAGTGTTTCGAAAAAGATGGTCGCGACATTTGTGTCATAAGAGGGTCATATTGCAACAATGCCTCTTAATGAGCAAAGAACTGTTACTGCGGATTGGTATACCACCATTTGTTTGCCAAAAGTCATCACCGAGCTTCGAAAAATCAACCCGAAAGAAGAATCATCCTCCACCAAGACAATGCAAGCTCGCACACAGCCCAAAAAACAAAGCCGTATTTAACGGAAGAAAACGTGGAATTATTAGACCATCCTCCATATAGTCCCGATCTAAGTCCTAACGATTTCTTTACTTTGCCGAAAATTAAAAACAGACTGCGTGGTCAAACGTTCCAGTCACCAGAAGAAGCAGTTGACGCATTTAAAAATGCCGCTTTGGATCTGCCAGCAAACGAGTGGAATAAGTGTTTCGAAAATTGGTTCGAACGCAAGCAGATGTGTATTAATCTTCGTGGAGAATACTTCGAAAAACAATAAAGTCATTCAAAACTACCTACCGTGGTTATTTCCATATGCAAAACTTAAAAGACATCCCTAGTACCTCCCTTTGGGATACTCGTCTACCCTTGTTCCACAATAAGACAATGTCAAACATCTATTTGCAGTTCTTTTTTTAAAACTAGTTTATTTTAACTACCGATTTAGGAGATGTTACAATGTTATCAACTATTTCCTACCGAGCATTGTTTCCTTGACACTGCAGCAAGGCCAACAGTAGCGTAAAAGTATTATGATGTAACTCATTTAATACCACTATGGTAAATCCTATTCGAAATTCATCAAGATAAGGAATCATTACACTGCTGAAACCGCGGAATAATATATAAGGGACACTCAAAAAATTCAAAGAACTAATGAAATCAAGACAATATTGATCAGATTTTGAAAGTTACAATTAAAGGTTTGATTTTTTTGAATAAGTACGTTTTCTTCCAAGTTTTGAATTAATTTAACAACCCTAATATTTTATATGACAGTACAAAAAAAAATAGTTTGAAGATTTAATTGATGCCATGCCCGAAAGATTACACGAACTTACCGACTAATTTATACTAATAATTACCAGAAAGACAGCACTGTGACCGTTATATGATCAACATTTACTTACCCTGAATGTGGGACGCCACCCAAGTGGTTTGATCAGGGCTGCATGGAAGGTGCAGAAATTGATAAGCGCATATGAAGCTAGATAAAAGTTTGATATCAACGGTGCTATCGCATTTAGTTGTGCTGAAAAGAAAAATACGATATTTTCATTCACCACATCTAATGAATTAAATTAAATATTTATAAAAATATATTGTAATCCTAATATTTCCATATGTGGTAAGCATTCCAAATTCTTGTACTATAATTTGCCAACAGCTTACCTATCAACAAAAATGCTGTGGATACAAAGAATGTCAATACATATCCTCTGTAAGGTTCGCCATGTTTTCCATAGCCCTTCGAGAAGAAATAAAATCCAGGATATATTTTATCTACTCCGATAGCTTGTATAAGTCTAGGGACGGATAGCAAATTGGTCAAAGCTGTACTCAATGTTGCAGCAAAACATCCTGCATATATCAATGGCCACCAACTGGACATGGTTGTCATCATCTGCAATAAAAGTGGAAACAGGCTCAAACCAATCTAAAACGATTTCAAAGAGAGAATTAGGAAACATAGGAACAACGTTGAAATGATAATCGAAATTCGTTCTATAATACCTAAATTTGGACAGAGTCTAAGGAATTAGTTACTTCTGTAATAAGAGCGCAAATTACTTTGTCGCTCGAGATTCTGTTTTTAATTGTCACTTTTATTAGGCCAAAAAGTTTATAAGATGTCGAGGGCAACGGATTATGTATAGAACCTCTTTTCTCCGTTTTTTTATATCTATATTTTGCCGAGGAACCATTGAATTTTAATTTAGAAGTGGATAAGAAATCAGAAATTTAGTAGTGCTAAATCGGATGATCTAAGGGGCCGGTTCTAATCACCGAAACGATAGTGTAAACGATCGAAGTATCCCATGCAGCAATTGAATTGTTTCTTGGGGAGTATGGCATGAGGCACCATCCTGTTGGAACCACAGTATATCGGTATCACCTAATATAGGCAGAAAGAAAATCCGATAAGGTCATTTTGTCTGATTCACTATTCCATGCATAACTCTAAACAACATACTTTATGTTAGATGAAGAGAGAATATTAAGAATGAACATTGGATGTATTTCAAGAGTTGGGTATACTCTGGGATATATTTTGTCGCTTTAGATCGGCAAAGCTGCCATTAGTGATTGGACTTTGAAAAACGTTAGATTTGTTGATCGATTGCGAGCAAAGCTTTTTTGGTCATTTACAGGAAAAACGTTGCTAATGTTGACAAACAATACGATATTGCTCAAATATAATTTCATCATATTCCGTATTCTTTCAATCATTCAAGAATTTTGATTGCGTTTTTAACATACAGTGTTGGTTTGGCGTCATTTCGCATAGAATCTAAAGAAATTGTTTACAAAGTCAACACTGTACTCCTATTTTGATCTCTATAGGGTGATTCATAACTACGTGGTAACCCAAACATACCTTTTAAAACAGAAAATTCTACATTTCATTACAGATTTAGATAGACAAATGAAGCAATTTGTTGAAACATACTACGTATATAGGGTTTTATTTTCAAATTTTGAGATATTGGTTGGTCATTCACCGAAAACAGTCAACTTTAACAAGTAGCACCTCCGCAACTGTTATGGTACTCAATTTTTGACAGAAAAATGTTATGATCTCATATCTTAATCCTATCTACTTTCTTTACCAGTTTCTTGATCAATTTATACGGAGAATTTTTATATGGTACATCATGTATATTTTCGCGTTACTTAATTACCTTTTCCACAAGCTTTTCTCAATATAATTTTTATGGGAATTTGTACGACTGGATTTTGAATTACAAATAACCTTTTTTAAATCAGATATAGAGGTAAACGAGAAATATTACAATGTACTTCAAAATAAAAAATAGCAAAAAGTCGAGAAGTGCCTCTGTGTTTTAGGCCCGTATCGTCAGTCGTCCCTACAATTGTAGGGCGCCTTTATGGCCTCCTTGATTGTCATAGTTTTCTACTTCTCCGTGTCAGAACTCTATGTTGAGGTTATGTCACAAACATCTATTTGCATCAAATTGTGATTGCTTTTGATTTATATCATGTTTTATCAGCCTGAAATTTCCTACATTTTAAAAAGAAAACATATCTTCACAATAGGAGAGCGCTGACGCTGACACGGGACAAGTGTAATCTAGAAATTTTTGAAGGAGAGAAAGGAGGATGACTATCAAGGAGGCCATAAACGCGACCTACAATTGTAGGGACGTCTGACGATGCGGGCGTTAATATCTCAGAAAAAAGCTTGTGATTTTTTTTATACTCCAACTACCACGAAGGCCTAAGGCCTAAGCACCCATTGGGTACCGTGGGGCTATACGGGGATACGTGGGAAAGGGGGGACGCCACACAGGCTCTGGCGAGGGAACACGTGTGCATGCAACATGCACACATTCTGGCTCCGCCTACGAGAACCGCCGGGTGGTACCTCCGCGTTCGACAGTCAGATACCATCTACCACCTACGGACAATCACAACATCCATAGCCAAGAGAAAAATTTCTCCTGGGACGGGACTCGAACCCGCACAGCGCACGGCGACTGATCAGGAGACCGAAGAGTCTACTACTGCAGCTACCACATGTTAAATTGTAAAATTATATAGCATGATCCATTTCAAAATTGTTACAAAAAGCTCATTTTTCCTTTTTGACCACCCTGTATGGACTATTGAAGAACCTAGAAAAGCAAGAAGACAGGGATGAATGCGGGAACATACATTTTTCAGACGAAAAAATCGGTACCCTAGCTATAACAGTGGCGGAGGTGCGAATTGCCAAATTTGTGTGTTTTTTCGATAGATTGTGCAATATCTCAATAATTTGAAAGTAGAACCCATCATAAGTTAAATCAAAATGCGTCGTTTGGGGGAACCTATCCAAATCATCAATAAAATGTGACGATTTCTATTTGAGAAAATGTTTGGGTCACCATGTACGAATCATCCTGTTAAAATGAAAATATACTCCAAATTAAGCGCATACTGATGCCTAAAAGTTTTTATTTAATCGTCCGAGCCCGCACTGAAAACTAATCATGCAATGCCATATTTGGTTAACACGAAGCTTCAAACCACCTGGCAAGTGAATAAAAATCAAAACGCTAAACGACCGGAAACTAAAGAAGTAGTAAATACTAAAATCCTTATCGCGACCTTTAGCCTACGGGTACTAAAGTTTTGTATTGGTACAAACCTGGTAACTGTTGAAGAGCCCATATTTACATGTGCCAGTCTCCACACACGCAATCAACGTTCCATTATGAAGATCCCCAATGCTTCCACTGGCATCTCTTAGCGCCGCACCTCCAGCAAAAATGACGAAAATGGCATAGGATGCCATGGATATCATCAAAGCTAGAAAGGTGCCTTTCGGGATAGCGAACGCAGGATCCTAGAAGTGTTAAATGGTCTGAATTTACAAAAATGATTACAGATGTCGATGATAAGTCAGTAACCTTTAAATCTCCGGAGATGTTAGCTCCTGCTTGTATACCGGTGACTGAAGGAAAGAAGATGGCGAATACTTGGAAGAAGTCGTACACCATGCCTCCTTGCTCTCGGTACATCGGGCCCCAATTTTCAGAGAAGATCGTTGCTGAAAGACAAAATGGCGTCAAACACAAATCTTTAGGATAACAACAAGATGACTATAAGAAGTGCACTACAAAGCAGTAAATATAGAATATGGACATACACAAAGAATAAAAACAATAGAACAGACCTAGTATAAACAAGCAATCATGCGGCATGAATTTACCACTCAATGTGCTGAGCTCAGAAAGTGCAACTTGACTGTCGTCTTGAAGGACTGCAAACCTGGAGTCTTATAGTTATAGTTATAGCAAATGACCTTTCAAAAACTGATGTACGATTGCGCCCTAGATTTAGAGTAATTTGATTTCCACGAGGAATCAACTTATCGAGTAAATAGACCGGTCTACTATTTTAAAAAATTCTATGCACCAATGAAACCATGGAATAATTGGATAAGCCATCAAATCTGAGCCACTGTAACCCCTGTTTATTTGAAGAAATGCCAACAGTTGTTCTGAACCTTCTGAAGCTTTGACTTGAAGCCGAGTCAATGAATGGGTAAAAGAAAACTAGAGAATAAGCTAAAATATGCACTGCTTTCATACAACTTTTTACTGCACTTAAAGTTTAGAATATGGCGATTAGAATATAAGAGCTTCATGTTCATACCTCTCGACTTCATGGTACTATTCACTTGTAAGTTATATCTAAGAATTGAATCTAAGCATTATCAGAAAATGGAATATTAGTATCGTTGGTAAATAACGAGGCTCGATTTGTGACATTGTAATTTGAATATTTAGAACAGTACATCAGTACATTTTGATTGATTGATACGGAAACAATACGTTAATATGTTAACAAGATCAAGGATGTTTAAATGTAAGTTGGATTCATTAAAACGAAATGTTAATTGTGTATCGTCAGCATACATTTAAATGTAACAATGTTCTAACCACTCATGCAGATAGGAATAGAAGAGGTCCCAGTACTGAACCCTGAGGAACTGTGAAACATACTGTGCATCAGAAGTTCCTCTAGATGTTCCACTACATACTAACAGATGCGAAAATATTACCATGATCAGAGGGGTGATATACTTTTGCAAAAATGTCTTATCTACTCTTTGTAAATTATAGAATAGCCTGTCTTTCTTACCGTTAAAACCAACGAATCCTTGTGCCAACTGCTCGTCTCCAGTAGGGCCAATTATGGTGCCTACCATGAAATCAACCATAGCTCCCACAATAACAGCAATCAGGAAATTTTGAGCCTTTGACTCCCAGTCCATTCCCACAGCACAAATTATTACCATTATCAAAATGGCTACGGTACCTGGAGGAAAAATATTCTGTAAAAGCTGTGCTTTTTTGAATGGATATTACAAAACTCAAACTTTTGCAAAGTAGTATTGAAGTGTGAAGTGTGAATTAAATCTCTTGAATGTATAGCAATAGTTCTTATAATATCACTGCTCGATTATCCACTTATTTTACTATAAATAAATAAAAAATCAATAACTGCGTCCTAGTGGCTAAATATTTTGAACACTTTAAAATTTACAGAATCAACAGCTTTGGCTTGACAGATTAAAAAAAATCCATTACTGTATTGTAATTAAAAAATATTGGGAAATTAGAGAAACATGTCTTTTCCCAAGCAATCAGATTTGCTGATTTCATATTTCTAAATAAAGATATCTTGGAAAGTCCTATAAGCTTTGTGCATTTTGCACACCAACGCTAAAGAAATCATGATCAAATGCATGCATTTTCAATTCAAACTCAACTCATATTTTCTTTGAAAAATAATTAATTACATTTTTAGAACTTGAAACTCCTTCAAGAGCTCCTTTCTTCATGATACCAAAATGGACTTCAGTTTATACCTCAACATGATTGATGAGTATCAGCTTGTAAGCCTTACCTATGATTCGAGTGTCGTTGTCACCACCATCTACAATTTTGTACCCGTACAAATTCAACAGGTCTGTCAAGGAATTACAAAAGCCTATAGTGTTCATAGAGGCCGATACAGCATTTGCAAAGGAGAATACTATACCCACAGATGCTCCAAACTCAGGTCCTAATGATCGAGAGATGATATAGTATATTCCACCTGTAATCATTAAAAATATTAATAACAAACTCTGATAATCATCTTGACTTAAGGATGAAAGCTTGTTTAAACACCCAGAAAATACACTCACCTCCTTTGACTTCTCCATTTGTGCAGATCGCTGATAGTGACAAAGTTGTGATTATACAAACTACAGCTGATATTCCGATAATCAGAAGAGAGAGACCTGAAACAAGTTCAAATAGTACCTATTTTGTATACAGGTGCGGTAATTTCAAAACTAGACCTTTTATTAAACAAACGTTTTCCTTTCGGGCAGCAAGCAAGTGAAAAAATGGCTGACAGGCTTTACACTGGAAAAGCTACTATAGCCTGAAATATGCTCATACCGTTTTTGTCTTTACTATCAAGACACGGATGAAAAGTTCAAAAATTTTTCAATTCTCAATATGTACAGTGAAATTCCCCTCCGCGGACACCCCTCTTACACGGACACCTCCTTTAATCGGACAGTTTCTCATGGTCCCGAGGGACTTTCACATAATTTGCATTGAACGGACGCGGACACGAGAAAATATTCTCCTAAAAAAAAGAAACGCCTTGTCTTATTTTTTTCTGTTGAGAGTATCGCTATTGCGTTTCTCAATCCATCCTCGCTGGGATTTTCTTGAGTAAACCGGGGATTTATCGACTTTAATCTTTCGGTACAAACGCAGCCTACTGGGTGCATATCCATTCGGCGTGAATTAGGGACTTCCAGAGTTGGTTGGCGATTTACCGTTCACATTCATTGTAGAAATGGCTCCAATTTAAGTGGTTGCAAGACCTAGACTGAAACATAGCTAAAGCAAAAATAAACTTTTTATTATTAAAGATAAAAATCTTATACTTGCCAAATAATTGTACATAAGCTTGTCAACCACTTGACCAAGGGATTACGAAGGGTTTTGAAACTTGTTACTCAAACACCCCCTATATTATAACTATCTAAAACTGTAATGACTCATCGATGTTCACGTGAACATCACTTAACTACCAGTAGTCGGCTGTTCATAGGCGGGTTATGAATGTTTAACATGGGTGAACTAGATTTATCACATGCTTAATAAAGAGTGGTTTGAAACATATTGTAAGTCAAAAATTTGGGAATTACCTTTATTCATCGTCGCTTCCACTTACATCTGACAGTAATAAACTGTCGCTATCGCTTTTCTCGTTGAAATTGACTATAACTGGCTCTATGATGGTGTCGATGTGGTGGTCAAGCTGCCACATTTTTGTTTCTTCCTTCACAACATGACGGATAGCATTCTGCCAAGCTTCGGGCGTTACTAGCTGTATGGAACTCTCAAGTAAAACCTTAACGTCTGGTAATTTGAAGGTTGTGTTATGGCGCGCAATATAACCCTTCACTTGAGCCCAGATGAGCTCTATTGGGTTCAGTTCACAGTGGTAGGGCGGTAACCGCAACACAGTGACACCACATTGACGGGCCATCTCATCAGTCACGTAACTAATGTTCGCAGGTTTGTGCTGTTTAATTTTTTCATACAATTCCGCTTTCACACATGAATCGTCAAACGGGATTCCTTTTTCGCGCAACCATTGCTGCATGTCACTTTTTCGAGATCCCATAGTCGGTACACGTTCGGCTCGACGACTATGGTAGGAAGCATTATCCATGACGATCATAGAGTTGGGTTCAACTCGCTGAAGCACCCCTTGAAACCAGCTCTCGAAGCAGCTGGCATTCATCATGGCAATCACCTCCTTTCTTAGAGACGAAATCAAGTCACACTCTTCTAAAAAGCCACTATCGCTACCAATATGAGTTACGATCAATCTTTGACCTTTCCCTGACGGTCCACGAAGACCTGTTGACAAACCTTCAATGCTTGCTTGTCGGTTACTCACTACGTTTTTGTCTATCCGGGTTTTTTTAACTGTGTGACCGGCATTTACCCATGTCTCGTCCAAATAATAGATTTTTCTGCTTTGTCGCCTATATTCAATCATTTCGCGTAGGTATTTTCGACGCCAGGCGACTATTTCATGTCTCTCTATCAATACTGACTTCCGATTACGCGTTTCGTAACGAAAATTAATTTCGTGCAGGGATTTCCTGATTACCTCGACGCTCATTTGGGGTATAATTTCATTTTCCTTGATCGCTGCATGTACAGCCTTGAGGGTTGGTATCTCATTCCTAAAGAAGAATGAATGTACGGTTCGCCTTTCGTCCCTTCAAATTAAACTTTGGATCAGTTGTAGCTCCAGTTTTCTTCTTTTCATGCACCACCCTGAGAATGGTCCACTCTGGAACGCCTGTCATACTTTCACAACGCGCGAGTGCTTCTCCTTGCGACATAGTTCTGTTCAGATAACTGAACACGTTGAGCACGATTTCTTTCGCGTCTCTCTTCTGTGCTTTACGAAGCCGTCTACTTGTTTCCTGGCTTTCAGTACTTCCACTCGTGCCATTTGTACTCTCCATGGTTAAGTATAACCAAAACAGTAACCACAGAAACCACAACAATAACAATCACACAACAATTCTTATAAAAACACACAATATGCGATCGCTCAACGAAACACGTTCCAATGCGTTGCCGACGCCTATGAGTCTGCCGGTCGAGGCGCGTGTTTCATTTCATTGGTTCTACCGGCGGAGATCAATCAGCCATTATTTCCATCTCTGTCTGTGCTGTTGACCACCGCAAAGCCACAGAAACGACATATGTCGTACGCTATACGGCTGTACTGGAAGGAAGCCGGGATCGAGCTCTGATCACGTGTTGATCACGCGAGTCATTACAGTTTTAAATAGTTGTAGTATAGTAAATATTGAAACTGCTGGCACAGCTTTTGAGTTAATAAAGAAAATTACGTCATTGGATGCAGTTTTATTTGGCAATAACCGCTTGGGACCAAGTAACCAAAGAAACAGGGCAAAATTGCTTCCGTAAAGTATGAAAATTTGCAAAGTGAAGACTAATTAAATGAGGCTGATACACCTGACCCAGAACACGACTTACCACTTAATGCAGTTCCAGATATCGTCAAAAACAAGAATTTATTGAGATTGACTGATAATTAAACCCCTTTATGACTTTTTGGACCTAGATGAAGGTTTGTATTTTGAAGATCCATATTCAGGCCAAGAAATTGAAAATCTAGTTGAAATGCAAGAACTTTTCCGAAGATTCTGATGTCGATGAGGTTCCAGTACCAACAGAAGCTATTCCAAATTATGATAAAGCTATTACCCAGACCAAACAGTTCAAAAGTTTTATCAAAAATCAAGGAGATTCAGAGCCTTTGGAGCTTCTTTCTAAATTATAAGTAAGATTTCAAGACGCCATTTCAAAGAAAAAGAGGAGACAAACGACAATGTATCAATGTTTGCGTCCTTAAAGTGACTTTTTATTTCATTGTTTTGTTTTACTACATATGCATGTTCTGTGCATACTTTATTTTATATTTGTTTTATATGGACACACCTCTTGAACGGACTTTTTCAGTCGGTCTCGTTGGTGTCCGCCAAAGGAGATTCCACTCTACTCCTCGTATGTAGCCTCTTCAGGTTGGCTGGCATCTGACAAACTTATTTGATAAATTATGCCGTGATGCGGCTCAGTCACTTAATGAAAAGGGTATGTTTGTTAATCTATTACACAGACCATAGTCAAAAGCAAAAAAAATGTGTCGAATATGAGTGACAAAATTATAAATTTTGTTTTGTTACATATTGTATATCGAGTTGTTTGTGTATAACAGTTTTCTCTAATATTAACGTGCTAACAGCAGGATATCATTTGCCGAATAATTTTATGAAGTGTTGAATTTTTATGAGAAAAATCGTTTATGTTTTCATCTTCCAATAGTATTGTTAATTTTGGCATAATATGATGTATGCGACTTCTATCGAATTGATATGATATACAGGGTGTTTCATAACTTATCCTACAAATTTTAACCACATAGGATTGTTACGAAAGAATTTGGTTTCTCAAAAAAAAATGTAATAAAAGTCCTACAGAAATTAAGTTATAAACCTGAGTTTCAATAATAAATTGAAAAATAAATATTTGTATTTTGCGTTCATCGTCGTGATATTAGAACACGCACTAATAATTTTCTAGCAAATATTGTACTAAACAACTGACGAAAACAAAATACCCTGAATTTTTTGTTTTTTCATACTAATAAGAACGTGCAAATAAGGTTTAATCTGTATCGTGGGTGATCTGAATGAAGAACGGTCGATTTTTGTGAAGTTATATAAGAAAGTATGTTGCGAGTTTATGTTTTTAGTTATTTATTAATAAAAATGGAACATGTGTACACGAATGAGGAGTTAGTGGAGGAGTTCTAGCATACGGAGAAGCAGGGCGAAATTTGCGAGCGGCATCTCGTTTGTATGCACACCGATTTCCGAATAGGCACATACCACATCACGAAACATTCAGTTCAATCGTCTTACGGTCACGCGCTAGTAGAGATTTGCGCCCTAGACGGGAAGTGGATGGTGAACTGTTAAACTGTATTATTTTATTATCTCGATTTCTGTAGGACTTTTTTGAGAAATCAACTTCTTCCGAAACAGTGCATATGTGGTTGAAATTTGTCGGATAAATTGTGAAACACCCTGTATAATCATTGCACCATCTATGCCGTACTTTATAAATACTTTATTGATGTTGTGTGGTTACTATTTCATGATTTGCAGTTGTAGGTGAGACTAGCAGGAAACCAGAGATTGCTTCGGAAATCTGCTAAACAATTTGTGGATGCTACCAAGTTTGTGAATGACACTTTGCAAAAAAAGATATAAATGGCCTTCTCGTGAGCTGTTTGACCTATTTGGTCTTAGGTCTTTTCTTTTTTTACTGTATTACCGCTGCTATCCATCCTATTTCTAAGAATAATACTATTGTACAATAAAAAATAAATTTCACAAATTTGTCTTGCGCATCAAATAAAGTCTAAAGCCGTATTTAATTAGAATTGAATTGTAAATCTGTTGGTCATGCAAAAACATTTTTGGATTCGTACCACGTTTTCGTTTTACCTTAGAAAGTTGTAAATTTTATCTTGGGTGGAGCTTGAGTTTCACCGTAATGCCCCGTATTGTGTTTGGCCTGAATTTTTTGTTGCTATATCGAGCTGATTATCTATTATAGCGTTGGCCCAGTATCAGTACCAGACCAATACGCATTGGCATAGCCTCGGCATATTGGTGTCCCCCCAAAGTGAAGAACCGGCATGACATCTAGTCAAAATATATTTATAGCTACAATATTCATGGTACAATGAAACGGTTATCTGAGAATTCGTTTTTCTATATCTATTGTTCAATTCATACCTATTCCCGCCTGAGCTACTACCCAGGATAACCTGAGGAATAGCATCACACCCCAGATGTTGAGCAGACATGGTATCAGCACTCCTTGTATCCATCCTAGTTTGAAGCCTTCGTGGGGTGAAGGATCGTCTATGTCTAGATGACTCGTAGAAGATTTGTCCTGGAAATTAAAGATAAGCTACTAATAATATGCAGTACAAACATTGTGTATCTAAATGAAACTGAGACTGTAAAATACGTTCCTGTATAAACTTATCAATACTTGAGACTGTTTCGGTAAGTCAGCAATATTTAAAAATAATGATAAATGAAAAAATAAAGTAGACTGACTAGAAACTGCATAAGCGTCAATATTTCACAGTACATTCCCACGGTTTGATTGATCCACGTCCTGAAATTATTTTGACAATAGCCAAAAGAAATGAAGTATATAAATTACATTTTATATTATTTAGTCAAAAACATATTTTGTAAGTCACCAGAAATTGTACTTTTAAATTCCAAAAATGTTGCCTATATGGATCTTTCGCTTACGCGTACGCGCTTTTGTGTCTCTATACAGGGTGTTTCGTGATGAAATGATAGATAGTAGTCGATTTTCTTAACTTTTTTGTATTCCTTCAAAATCAACACGTTTTCGGCTGAATTCTGGAATGTTTGACTATGTACACAAAAAGCCAATGCATGATTTTTATTAAGTAGTAAACATTTTTATTTAGTCAAATATCTTATTTCTTATGTGGCACAAAGCTCAGAATTTCAAACATCACCAACTTAATTTCATCAAGATTTTACAAAATGATACTAGGATTGAACCAACAGTTTAGTGCCTATTCTGTTTTTTGTTTCTTTGATTTTATTAAGTGCAAAATAAATGGATTAAATAAAGGGCAAAATTAATTCACTCTATTTACATTTTCGGTAATTTTTTGATTGTCTAGTCATACCAACTGATGTGGTACAAAATCAGACCAAAGTCATGTTTCCAACAAATAATGTGTCTAATCTACCACCTACGTCAGAAGTTGACACAAGATGGGAACGGCATGTCAGGAAAAAAAAAGAAGGAAAATCACATGAGGTCAGACGGTCAGAATGTTATAATAAAAAATAAGGGGTGAAATACCAAACAATAAAATTCAAAAAGCTACTACATTTTGTGTCAGTTGTAAAGGAAATCCCCACTTTTGCCTTGACTCAATCATAATTTATTTTATATACAGGGTGACCTCGAAGTTGAGTCATTTATTTTAACAGCGAGTAGATCTGATCAAAAGAAATGTTTTTTTCCTTTAACATTTTTGTGTTAAAATTAAAGTAACACAGTTATAGGCCTTTAGAAGTGTGAGTACCGTCCTATCTCAATTATAATATTATGTGATCCTGTTTGGCAACAACGGATATAATCCGCCTTATCGGTTCATCGCATCGGAAACAAAAAAGCGAAAGAATTTGAAACGCTTATCACGATGTTTTTACTACAATTTTATTCAGTTGTATTCAGTCAATGTGTCAGTCGGTAACGCGTGAGTGAATAGTGGTGTTTGTTGCGTGACTCAAACGAAATAAAAAATGGCACATGTTTACGAAAATGCTGAACTTGTGGACATGATTCTTATTTACGGGGGGGGGCGAGTCTTTACAAAATGCTGCCGCGGCATCACGGATTTATGCGGATCGGTTTCCCAATCGAGTGCAACCAACCCCTCGTGCCTTTGTTAATGTAGTTCAAAGGGCTCATGAATCAGGTGACTTAACACCTCACAGTGGAGGGCATGCCGGTGCTTCAAGACCGCACGATCAAATACAGGTCCGCAATGAAATACTTGTCGGGAGGATACTTTATAAAACAAGGTAAAATTTTTTTTTTAATTTTTTTTTTATTTTTACACTCATATTTTGGTTTATCTTCCTTCTACAATCATTATCTGAAAATTAATGACTCAACTTCAAAGTCACCCTGTATATATATATATATATGCATTTTCCCATTCTGATAATTTTTTTTGTACTCAGGCAAAGATGTCAATATGCTACTTGAAACAATCTTGCAATATATTGATATTGATAGAATACAAAAAAATTATAAAAATTGAGTTCGACCGACCAGTTTGATGATACTTGTATCAACTTTGTTACTTGCAAGATTTAATCAAAATCGCTTAAGTAAAGCCTGGCGTGTTCAAATAAATCACCCTCTATATCCGTAGAAAAGGATTTTTGGAAATTAATCCCCTAAGGGAGTGAAATAGGAGATGGGAGCTTGTTTTAAGCTTATTATTCTTTCAGTGAATTCACCTGAAGCTTTGTACAAATTCTCTACTATACTCATGAAAAAATATATTATGCAACACTTTTTGAGATTCTTCTCCTAGAGGGATACACCAGCCGTTGGATATTTGGATGCAAACTTTTATTCCTTCGGCAGATATACCTGAGACTTTGTACAAACCCTCAACAACAACACCAATCAATGCGATTCGGGTTTTTATAGAAATTCAACCCTTAGGAGGGTACACTAAGGGGTGAAGATTTCACCCTGTGTTGAATTCCGACTGTTTCAAATTTTAAGTTTCGTGTCGCATGAGCTGAGATAAGATATCTGAAGACATGAAAACTTTCAAGTAACAACCATAAACCTAGTTTGATAGTAATTAATGACCACCGTTCAGTGGCTTTTTTGTACGTAGTAAAAGATTTCAATATTATACTTGAAACAACCTTAAAAGGTATTGATTTTCTCTTTAAAAACTTGAATAGGACATTATGTAAAATAGCGTTCTATTATTATATAACACATTTAATAATTATTCTTTTTTTAATGTCAGTAAGGGAAACACTGTTGCTGTTATTATTGGCATGTACATATATGAGCTTTTTCAGGGTGGGATATTTGATTGGCTAGAAATTAATAAAAGCTACTTTTACAACAGAAAAGTATGTTGTTATACCCTGTATACTGCGTTAGGCTATTTTGAGTTCTGTCATGAGTTGTCAAATTGTAGGCTAAGTATGTTGTAAGGTATTTGTCCGATAAATGTCAGTGTTTTGTTGTTTATTTATAGATCTTTCGATATGTTTGGAGAACCTTGTAGAGCTCTTGATTTTTCTAGAAATTGAACTTCACATGTTACTAGAATAAATAAGGTAGTGGGAAGGGTATTCGTCTTACCAAATCCATATTATGACAAATAACAGATCTGTTTGAAATATTTAAAGAGGTACTTAACAACTATGCGTTTCCTATATTCTGACATATAACAATGTTTTTATGTTTAAGTAAGTTCATTCTTGAATTATAGCAAGATAAGATACTGTCTAAACTTTTAAACCATAGATAATTTCATTGTAAGGTTTGTGTGTCATCGTAAGATACGGTGGATTTAAAAGGTAACACTTAAAATGTACTTAGTTCTGTTAAAATATAGCTCTGGTTACTTCCCCTTTTTTTAGATTAGCAGGTAATGCGCACTGTGCATCGTTATCAAATTCAAGGTCATACTTCAATGAGGTTAAAGTGAAATATTCTAAAACTGATAATGGAAATATTCAGCGAATGTGCGATATTTCTAGTATTTTTGAACTCGCCACGGAACATATTACTAAGCACTTATACATCTAAAAAATCGTTATAAATGTCAGATACCCAAAAATTACAATTTTTATAAATGTGACTTCCGAAATATAAGTTTGATGCTGAACATCTGGTCAATAAAGTATCAACTCTACCCACGTTTCATCTGAATCAAAAGTTGAAAATGTTAAAATGTATAATCACATATTTAATCACGAAAATGCGCTTCAAATGAACGAACATAAAGTCAAAAACATTTATAAGTGCGCAGTGAAATTTTGCTATATCTATTTGTTTCGCTCCATACCAAACCTTAAAACAACGGCAATCGGAATCAACAACAACAATAACATACTCTAGAATCTGCAATCAGCTCTAATGTAACTATGTAATTGTGTTTGATAAATATTATTTTAACATAAAGGTATCAGAAAATGCAATTTTTCGATTATACAATTCATACCCTTATATCCAATATACCAATGAATCTGAAATAACAACATGTTGTATCTGAAAAAATCGCAGTCTGTTGAGGAATAAGCCCGAATAATTTTGAAACAATACCTCTTGATACAAGATTTGTGCGCTTGGCTTTTTCAAACTCGATCATAATGAAAGTGAATAACTTGATATTATGTTCATTACTCATGCAAGGGCAGAGAAGGGCTCGGCTTGTTGAAACATGAAGCTTGTGACCCAGACAGTGAAAACAACTTTCCATCAAATTTAATATGCAGATGCATCACTCTTCTTTTAAAATACACCATTGTGGTGCAGTTGACATGGAATATCGATCATTGGAGACGGAAAACAACGACATACTTTCCATATACGAGTATAGGCGAGGAGAGTATGATATTAAAAGAAATTCTTGGTGACATTTTTTTTCATATCTTTGGCAAAAGATGAACACATTATTAGGATGGAGAAAATGTGTCCCTAGAAATTCTCAACTTTTCCAAAGTGTTTTTATTTAGTTTTCAGTAATCATGCAGTTTATCCTCATTTCTTTGCTCAAGTGTTGGAAAAATTGTTGGCCCAACTGTCAAAGCTATGTTTTTTATGAAATTTATCATATTAGCGGTAACATATTAAAAACTAAAACGTATTTGTAACAAAAAAAATAGCTTGCAAAGCTGCCGATTAACGAAAATCAAAGAAACCAAATAGCAGCAAATCACCACTGCGTTAGGTCGCCTTCATAACTGATTACTGCTTCGATACGTCTTGACATAGTGCCAACTAGTGTTTGGCAGTCAGCTGGTGTAAAGCGGTTCCAAATTTCTTGGAGATGGGTTCGCAATTCTGGAACGGTTCGTGCGGGACTCGATCGGACGTTTTTCTTCTTCTAATACAAGGTTTCAATCGGCGATAGATCTGCATTATTCGAAGTCCATTTTAAAACTGAAATATTGTTTTCTAACATCCAATCTTTCACTTTCTTAGTCATATGGCAAGCGGCACCATAGATACATTCAATATTGTTTAAACGCATTTGTTCAATTTGAGGTACAAGTTATTCTGAAGCACTGTATACTGAACACCATATACAGGGTTATCCAAATTAAGTGTCCACCATTGGTAAC